ACGTCGTGTGGGAGCCCTACAGTGCCGCGGCTACCCAGGCTCGTGCGCCGTTGGGTCTGTCCACACTCTGCACCAGGGACCAGGCGTACTGGATGACTACGGTTCCGATGGTCTTCGACATCTGCGTTGAGCCTCACGCCCCTTTCCGCGTGATGCGGCAGTTCGGCTTCCGTCAGCCCTTTCCAGTACCGTTTCCGACCACCGTCCCAGCTGCTGTTCACCGGTAAGATCTTGCACTACGCTTTCCATTGTTGCAATAATTTGTAACATCTGTCGTTTCACACTAATATTACACATTAATTCGTAGGTACTCACGCAAGGGTCAGCAGTCAGCTGGCGACTGGCCCGCCAAGTTGGCGACTTTTGTTGAGGACTGGTTGCTCGCAACCGAGGAGGTCGTGGACCACGAGGGAGAGCCACACACTGAGGAGTCGTACCAGGCCTACCTACGCTGGTACCAGCCACACACCCGTACTAGGGTCACCTTCGCTCCCTTGGAGCAGCAGCCCCACGTTGCGAGCACTAGAGACCTCTATGCTAGGCACCGCGACCAGGACTTCGCTCGTGCTGTGAGTACCCTGCATCGCACCATTCCTTTATGTTTTCATGTCTTTCTCATCGTCAAATGTTACGAATATGTATGAACAAATTAACCATGCAGGTCGACGACATCAACCGGGTCGTCGTTGACGGTTCAACGACGATCCAACGTTTAGACGCAGGGATTCCGGTACCCGTAGAGGAGCACCTGACGACGTACACGCGGATGGTGGAGTCGATGCGCTCGATTCTCCGAGTGCTCACCTGTCGTGCAGACGACATTGCTCGGGCAGACGCAGCTGTACAGCGGCCACCCGTACCGACTGGTCCCCGTCCAGCTGCGCACGTTCCTAGGCCGACTCCCCCTCCGCACGGAGGTAAGTATTTTTAAGGATTTTTCTGTACATGCCTCGCACATATATGTGAGCCGTTTCACTTGCCGATTGATTCAGGGTTTCGTGCACCGTTCAGCACCCCACCTTCCTCGGCTAGGCCTTCAGGTGTGCCCCCCATAGGTACTTAAAAAACAACATTACTTCGATAATCAATTTACATGTATTTTATGTCTTAGCTTACAAGGTCCCGTTGTCGATGTGTAGGTTTCGCCCAGTTCGCTATGACGCAGGCCGCCTACTTCTCCCACGCTGCAGGGTCAGCGTCTCAGCCAGCTGCGTCGACCTCGCACTCAGCGCAGTTCCAGCAGTACACCGGGGCTTCGTCACAGGCAGCCGGCACGTCGAGTCAAGGTCCACCACTAGACCATGCTAGGACCTCGTCGGACCGCTTGCTGTCTTCCACCGTGCTCTTCGACATCACTGACTTCGACTTCGCTTCAGGCTCGGCAGAGGACGTCATCGGCCCCTCACAGCTGGGAGGCGCACCGCCGGTGCAGACGCAGGACCAGGCGCAGGCCACTCCTCCGCCAGACACTCGTGCTACCCGTGCTGTGCCACCGGATCGTTTCACCTACTCCCAGGACCACGTGCGAGCACAGGCCCGGAGGACCAAGCGTGGTCGCGGCGCGGGGCAGGGCCAGTAGAGCAATCTTCTCTTTGTTTATTTGCTTGACTTTCCAGTACTGTATGCTTATGTAATGACTACGTTGTTGTTATATGTGCACGATATCTTTCGGCGCATGCACGATACCTTTCGGCGCATGCACGATTGCTTTCTCCCGCACCGATGCAGCCTCCTTTATTCGCATGCTCTACGAGTATTTGCCCGCCATTTGCCGCATACGACCAACGTAACTTTCGGCGCCGATCAAGCGTGCAACTTTCGGCGCCAATCAGTCGTACCCGCCATGCCCCACCACGTTCACATGTCAAGGATATCACTCGATTTTTTGCGCATATATAAGTCGCCTTAACGAGTGAGGCCTCACAATCTTTCAGAACTCAGTCACATTCAGTACTCTCTTCCCCACTTCTTCATTACAAATCCTACCGGCTTTCGTCAATGGCTAGACGCCGGGGTGTTGAGGATCCAAACTGGCGCAGCGATCCTTGTGTATACCTACTACCACCTTGGTGCCAGCGTCCTCTCTGCCTATGCGGTGATCGATGCCAACTAATGGCTTCGAGGAATCCTGATATTCGAGGAAGGCGCTTTTTTAGGTGCCCTAACTATGACCGTGAGGTATTTTATTATCTGCAAATGCTTATTCATTCCGTATGGGCAATCGCTTTATTCTTCGTAACACTACTCTATTCGGCAGACCCGCACTACGGCTTGCGCATACATCGAGTGGGTCGATACAGAAAATCCCGTTCTCGACCTAACCACTTGTTTACAAGAAGGTCGCTGGTATTTCGCATCCGAAAGTACTGAGCAATACTTAAAGAGAAAAGCGGCTTATGAACGACAATGTCGTGAACAACAGAGCGACTGGCGGGTGCTAACTACGGCACTCCCTCCATGGGAAGCCCGTCCAAGATGCAGGTGTGGTGATCGTTGTCAGGTTCTTCGTTCCATAAATCCTACAACATTGGGTCGAAGGTTCTTTGTTTGTCCAAATATTCTTGACGACGATTTCATGGTAAGAATATTTTGATTACATTAATCATTATTTTCTCACAACATTTACTAACTTTGCTCGCTTTACATCTATTCTTTCCTCCCAGGAACCACCAAGGAGATGTCAATACAGAGAATGGATAGACACCAGAAGGGTTCTAACTCCACCTTGCCGTGTTGTGCAGCTTGAACTACCAGAGCAATACAGGGTTACTAAAGCGCGGTTTGAGAGAGGAGAGGGATCCTCACGTAGGGGTTAGCTATTATCGGACAACTTGGCAAATTAAAATTTCTACCGTCATGCTTCCTTGTCCCATTACTACATCGTCGTTGTGTTCAACTATTACACTACCTCCCTCCTAGTTCGAATCTAATATCATCTATGTAACCGCAATCGAAATAGTTGTATCATGTTCAAATTGTACTACTATTTCTTCATGTTACATAATTCTCCTTGTTTAAGTCCATATAATGTTTCTACGACCGAGACTGCGATAGGCCTATATTAATTATCCGAGTACTAATACGTCGAATAAGGTACAAAATAATACCTCACTTAACATATGAAATTGCGCAACAACCAACTTCAATACATTTTTATAACAATATTAACAAGTTTTACCAACAAATACTTCTTTATTTTTTATTAACATTACATAGAAAAATATTTTGGCCGTACTTTTTACATCTGGCAAGGGACCCAGATGCAAAAAGTACAGCCGCAAGCTCCTGGAGGGCAGCCAAAATTGCTATTAGACCCTTGCCGCCCTCTGTATGGGCGGCAAGGGCCTAATCGGAATTTTGGCCGACGGCGGCAGACGGCGCGGTCGACCCACCGTCTGCCACGTCAGCTTGCCGCCCCAATGGTGGGCGGCAGGGTCTATTTTTGCAATTTTTCTCGCCGATAGATTATTTCTGTAAATATTAAAAAAAAATCTAAAAACGAAAAAAATTCTACAAATGTGAGCAGGGGCTGCAGGGCTCATCACCCGTTGGTGCACCAGAAATCACTTCTGCCACGGTCCTGCACTCGGCTATAATTGCTATTGATCCGGCTTTTTGGGAGAAACCGATAAAAGCGAAAGGATTCCAGAATAGAATCCTAGAGCATCACCAACAGATTATCTATAATTTTCTCCTAAAAATTTGATTTTTGGGTTTTCTAAACTGAAAATAGAAAGTGAAAAAACCTATAATTTTCTCCTAAAAATTTGATTTTTGGGTTTTCTAAACTGAAAATAGAAAGTGAAAAAACTCCTCTCTCTAACAGATAGCCTAAATTCAATCCCCAAAACTTAAAAGTGAGCCCTTCTGTTAAACTACCAAGGAAATTCTGTTTTTTTCTTTCACGCGCAGAAAGATCGCTAACTCCCACGCGCGGGAACGAAGGAGAGAGGCGGGATTGCGTGATTGGGAGTGACTTTCGCGCCCGCATATAAACGGAGCGAGGAACCGGGGGAAGGGAACTCCAAAACTCGGGTAGGAGAGTAGGGGATCTGTTGGAGCTGATTTTTTGGACTAAAATCCCTCAAAATTAGTTTAGGGGATCTAAACTAATTTTGAGGGATTTCAGTCCAAAAATCAGCTCCAACAGCCTCCAAAACTCGGGTAGGAGAGTAGGGGATCTGTTGGAGCTGATTTTTGGACTAAAATCCCTCAAAATTAGTTTAGATCTAAACTAATTTTGAGGGATTTTAGTCCAAAAATCAGCTCCAACAGATCCCCTACTCTCCTACCCGAGTTTTGGAGTTCCCTTCCCCCGGTTCCTCGCTCCGTTTATATGCGGGCGCGAAAGTCACTCCCAATCACGCAATCCCGCCTCTCTCCTTCATTCCCGCGCGTGGGAGATAGCAATCTTTCTGCGCGTGAAAGAAAAAAAACAGAATTTTCTTTTGGTAGTTTAACAGAAGGGCTCACTTTTAAGTTTTGGGGATTGAATTTAGGCTATCTGTTGGAGAGAGGAGTTTTTTCACTTTCTATTTTCAGTTTAGAAAACCCAAAAATCAAATTTTTAGGAGAAAATTATAGATAATCTGTTGGTGATGCTCTTAGGCCTCGTTTAGAGCACACCCCAAAAATATTCACCCTATCACATCGTACGTTTAAACATCTGCATGAAGTATTAAATATGTGCTAAAAAAATAATTGCACGTATTGCGACTAATTTGTGAGACGAATCTTTTAAGCATAATTGCTCCATGATTTAACAATGTAGTGCTACAGTAAACATTTGCTAATGATGTATTACTTAGGCTTAATAAATTTGTCTCGCACTTTACTGACGAATTCTGTAATTAGTTTTCTTATTAGTACCCAAACACCACATGCCAGGGTTCATAATTCCGACAAAAACCGGTCAAATTCCATGAAATTTCGATGTTTACATGGCTCGGAATTAAGTTTCGATTGGAATTTCGAAGGATAAACAATAGATTTGGTCGAAATTTATCGAAAACCGATCAAAATTTATCGAAAACGGTGATACCGATGGGGTTCGAAATTTAGTGGTCAACCGGTAATGTAAACCCTGCCACATGCGATACCTTATATAATATTCGATGTGACACGCTAAAACTTTACACCCCGGATTTAAACACCCCCTTATACAAGGAAAAGTAAATCACTTCTGCCACGGTCTGCACTCAGCACAGCAGATCAGCCTGCACTAGAAAAGAAAAAAAAGAAAAAGAAAAACACAACAAGACCTTTCCTTCGAACAGAGGAATATTGCGTGAATTTTAAATAAAATGAATCAGCCTTTTGTGAACACATTCTCGCATTTCAAACGAGAACTAGAACAGTTTTGCTATGCTCCATATCAAAATGTCAAGAACTTGATATCCTTCGTATGTATGGTAGTAGCATGCAGTTTTCCTCGTACACGACTTGACTATATTTTTTCCAGCGATAACAAGTGCCAAATATCCAAATACATTTGTCGTATACGAGCCAATCCACAACTCCACTACCAAGGACAGTTCACACCGCCATCTCCTCCATTCCATTTCATTCCGATCGGACTGAGACACTGAAGAAACAACAAATTACATTTTTTATAAAAAAAAATTGCAGAATCCACGGGACGATGGAGTAAAAAACAAACAAAATTTTCCTCTGAAGACTTCAGAACAAGGAGAAAACTTTCTGAACCTGAAGACTGCAGACCGAGACACGGACACACGGCCAACGAACGCGTCGGCAGCAACAACGTAGCGGCGGTCCGAATCATTCATTCATTCATCGCCAGATCGCCATCAGTTTTTCATAATTTTGCACTGCAAGTGGACAGGTGTGAAACGCTAGGCGAGACTAATTTTAATCATGGTTGTGTTTAGTTCGTGGTCCAAAATTTTTTTAAGTATACGGCCATACATTTAAAATACATTTAAAGTATTAAATATAGACTAATAACAAAACAAATTATAGGTTCTGTATGTAAACTGCGAGACAAATTTATTAAGTCTAATTAATCCATCATTAGCAAATGTTTATTGTAGCATCACATTATCAAATCATTGCGCAGTTAGGCTCAAAAGATTCGTCTCGCGATTTACATGCAAACTGTGCAATTGATTTTTTTTCGTCTATATTTAATGCTTCATGTATGTGTGCAAACATTTAATGTGACGGAAAAGTTGGAAGTTCCAAGAAAACATTTTGAATCTAAACACGGCCCATGTATTCTTCCATAGACGATATGATATGCAGCACGACAAAAGACACAGGGCCCCGCTACTCCTACAGTGATGATTAGGATCGCTTACCGTCTACGGATGGGTGCCTGGGTAGACCGTGTCCATGAGCCTGGAAAATCATTGGTTTCTTGTTTTGACGAAAATTGGAAAATCATTGATTGATCTGCAGTGCAGCAATCCTCTTCAGACTTCGACGTGTACGACGTGCAGCACAGCAGTACAGCACTACAGTCGTCTGAACTGGAAATGGCCTCTATGCTGTTTCTAGAATTGGTCTTTGTGCAGCCGATCTTCTGTAATCATCTTGTGTTCCCCATGCTGTTTCTGTTCTGGCCGAAGGATTTCTCCAGTTTGTGCTGCACCTGAAATGGTGTCAAAAGAACCATATAACCAACGACATAAAACACGTATAAGAGAGAAAATGAAAGCATGGGAAATAAACAAGCAGGAGGGATGGCATATGTAATTGCAACTATGTAATTTTCATATGGAGATCCTGATGGTGTTTGGTGACAGAAACTTGCTGTCTATATTTTTTCAGTTAATGCAGACACAAACAATTTTGAGCTACCTGTATTAGCACATGGAACATCATACCGCAGAAGCTGGACATGAATATAAAGTGCAATTGCGCCTGCTACAGATCATCAGATATCAGAACGATCCGGGTTGATTTTATTAGAGGATCTCATCTGCAGATAAATGCCTTTCGAAACAACAACTGTTCAGCTAAATTAAGGTCTGGCCGTCTGGGTGCCCCTTAAAAAAAGATTAAGGTCTGGGTGGCTGAATTATGTCCCAAAGACAATGGGACGAATTAATTAAAGTGCAGCTACACCTACTACAAAGCATCAAATGATCTCACCTGAACTTTTTTAAACCAGCTCCGTATGCAAATTGGAATTAAAATAAGAAAAATATGATTATGACAAAAGAAGGAAGGAAGAAATGGAATTCTCACAAACCTGAAGATCTGTGTGGCTTCAGTCCGTTCCATAGTCCATAGACCATGTCTACACAAGAACCAGTCTCCCCTGTGGTGTCCCAAATGATAAGCCAGCTCCCACTGGCAGCCTGCAGCCCTCACACGCTACGCAGCTTACTTCAAGTCTTCAAGCACTTCCAAAATTCAGAGATAGACACAAGAGTCATAATCCATGGTCTACAAAGATACACCAGTGGAGCCGGGAGAATGGAAAACAACTGCAAGCGTGTGGAGCAAATAAGCCGGAACGCACGCTTGATAACAGAAAGTAAACGCCTTGGCCCTTGGGTCAACAGGAAGAAGAATTGAAGAAGAGAGCACCAGATTACCCACCCAATCACCCACCAGTCGTGCTATGTTGTTTTCCAGAGCATGTACACACCATGACCACGATGCCGATGATTGCTCTAAATTATATGCACCTCTCGGAATGATGCTTTGCATGTAGTATCTGCAAAGTGGATCTTGCAAATCTTCAGAAGCTGTGTTTCTTTTCACAGAGACGAGTCTTTTGCTCCTTACCAAAAGGTATGCGTCCTTCAGAAGCTGTGTAAAGATTTGTGTGTGTTAGTACCAAGCAACCAGGTCTGTCAAGGGGAAGAGAAATGACATCAGATCAAGTGAATTTAGGCAAGCTGTAACAATGTCAATGACATAAGGATTGAAATAAAAATGATTAAAAGGAAAACAACTTGTACGGTCAGGGAGGCCGACCACTTGGTTTTTCAATATATATATATATAGCAGGCACCTGCTAGTGCAACGTCATAATGTGAACCAAGAAGCTGCTATAGCAGTTCTTTTTTATAAAGTTCTTGACCTGTGTTTCTTTTTTATAACCATGACTAGAAAGACAGAATAAAATGGAAGTTGGAGCTAATTCTTTCTTCTTCCTCATGTTCTTTCTTGATTAGACCATCTGATGCTTTGCGCAGTCAGGAACTCAGGATACAAACTCGCATCCAACTTCCATGCTAGTATCACCAGAAAACCATGCAGCCACCTCATTTTTCATACAAGACACAAAGCAACAGACTGCCCATACCTGTTCTTAGCCTTGCCCTTGTGCTGCTGCTCAACTTCACCTCTCCCACCAGTTCATGTACAGAGCAGGAGAAGAACTCCCTCCTCAATTTCCTCACCGGGCTTTCTAAGGATGGAGGCCTCAGCATGTCATGGAAGGATGGCGTGGATTGTTGCGAGTGGGAAGGGATCACCTGCAGAACAGATAGGACCGTGACTGATGTTTCACTGCCTTCTAGGAGCCTCGAGGGGTACATCTCTCCATCTCTTGGCAACCTGACTGGATTGCTGCGCCTCAACCTGTCCTACAACCTGCTATCCAGTGTCCTACCGCAGGAATTGCTGTCTTCCAGCAAACTCATCGTCATAGACATCAGCTTTAACCGCCTGAATGGAGGTCTCGACAAGTTGCCATCTTCAACCCCTGCCAGGCCACTGCAGGTACTCAACATCTCAAGTAATTTGTTAGCAGGACAGTTTCCATCCTCCACATGGGTAGTGATGACAAATCTGGCCGCACTCAATGTCAGTAACAACAGCTTTACTGGGAAAATACCAACTAATTTCTGCACCAACTCACCATCCTTAGCTGTGCTTGAACTCAGTTACAACCAATTCAGTGGGAGCATTCCCCCTGAACTTGGAAGTTGCTCCAGGCTGAGAGTCCTCAAGGCTGGCCATAACAACCTTAGTGGGACTCTCCCTGATGAAATCTTCAATGCTACCTCGTTAGAGTGCCTCTCTTTTCCAAACAATAATTTACAAGGAACACTTGAAGGGGCAAATGTTGTCAAACTCGGTAAGCTGGCTACCCTTGACCTTGGAGAGAACAACTTCAGTGGTAACATTCCAGAGTCTATCGGTCAGCTCAACAGATTGGAGGAACTCCATTTGAACAACAACAAAATGTTTGGGAGCATACCATCAACCCTGAGCAACTGCACAAGTCTGAAAACCATCGACCTCAATAGCAACAATTTCAGTGGAGAGCTCATGAATGTCAATTTCTCCAATCTACCCAGTCTACAAACTTTAGATCTTCGGCAGAACATCTTCAGTGGTAAAATTCCAGAAACAATATACTCATGCAGCAACCTAACTGCCCTGCGGCTATCTTTGAATAAATTCCAAGGCCAGTTATCAAAGGGACTAGGCAATCTGAAGTCCCTTTCCTTCCTGTCACTCGGTTACAACAATCTCACAAACATAACAAATGCACTACAGATATTAAGGAGCTCCAGCAAACTCACCACCCTTCTTATTAGCAACAACTTCATGAATGAAAGTATACCAGACGATGATAGAATTGATGGTTTTGAGAATCTTCAGGTTCTTGACCTAAGTGGATGCTCCTTTTCTGGAAAAATACCTCAATGGTTATCAAAACTCTCGAGGTTGGAGATGCTGGTTTTAGACAACAATCAACTAACTGGACCAATACCTGACTGGATCAGCAGCCTAAACTTCCTCTTCTATCTAGATGTATCAAATAACAATCTGACGGGAGAAATTCCGATGGCCTTATTACAGATGCCAATGCTAAGGTCAGACAGGGCTGCAGCACAATTGGACACTAGAGCATTTGAACTACCCGTATATATAGATGCAACACTACTTCAATACCGCAAGGCCAGTGCTTTTCCCAAAGTGCTGAATCTAGGTAACAATGAATTCACCGGTTTGATCCCTCAAGAGATTGGTCAGTTGAAAGCGCTCCTTTTGCTTAATTTGAGCTTTAACAAATTATATGGAGATATCCCCCAGTCGATCTGCAACCTCAGAGACCTGCTAATGCTGGATTTATCAAGCAATAATCTAACTGGTACAATCCCAGCCGCACTGAACAATTTAACCTTTCTTATCGAATTCAGCGTCTCGTATAATGACCTAGAAGGGCCTATCCCAACTGGCGGACAGTTTAGTACATTCACAAATTCTAGCTTTTATGGCAATCCAAAGCTGTGTGGTCCTATGCTTACACACCATTGCAGTTCATTTGATAGACATTTGGTCTCAAAGAAACAACAAAACAAGAAGGTCATACTTGTAATTGTTTTTTGTGTCCTTTTTGGAGCCATTGTCATTCTTTTGTTGTTGGGGTATCTCCTTCTGTCAATCAGGGGTATGAGTTTCACGACCAAAAGTAGGTGCAACAATGATTACATAGAAGCATTATCACCGAACACCAATTCAGATCATTTGTTGGTAATGTTGCAGCAAGGCAAGGAAGCAGAAAACAAGCTCACATTCACTGGCATTGTGGAAGCTACAAACAATTTTAACCAGGAGCACATCATTGGATGTGGAGGTTATGGATTAGTCTACAAGGCACAGTTACCTGATGGCTCTATGATTGCCATCAAGAAACTTAATGGTGAAATGTGTCTGATGGAAAGGGAGTTCAGTGCAGAGGTTGAAACGCTCTCCATGGCACGACATGACAATCTTGTGCCACTCTGGGGTTACTGTATCCAGGGAAACTCGAGGCTCCTCATATATTCTTACATGGAGAATGGCAGCCTGGATGATTGGCTTCATAACAAGGATGATGATACCAGCACAATTCTAGATTGGCCAAGACGGCTCAAAATAGCAAAAGGGGCAAGCCATGGCCTTTCTTACATCCACAATATCTGCAAGCCTCGTATTGTCCACCGTGACATCAAATCTAGCAACATCCTTCTCGACAAAGAATTCAAAGCTTATATTGCAGATTTTGGATTATCACGGTTGATCCTTCCCAACAAAACTCATGTCACAACTGAGCTAGTTGGCACTCTTGGTTACATCCCACCTGAGTACGCCCAGGCATGGGTTGCTACATTGAAAGGTGATGTATACAGTTTCGGAGTGGTCCTGCTTGAGCTTCTCACTGGGAGGAGGCCAGTTCCGATACTGTCTACCTCAAAGGAACTTGTCCCATGGGTACAGGAGATGGTATCAAATGGAAAGCAGATTGAGGTGCTGGATTTAACATTTCAAGGCACAGGGTGTGAAGAGCAAATGCTAAAGGTCCTTGAAATTGCTTGCAAGTGTGTCAAAGGTGATCCTTTGCGGAGGCCTACTATGATAGAAGTAGTAGCCAGTCTGCACAGTATAGACCCTGACGGCCTGACCTAAAGATACAATAATATGACAAATAATCTTGTACTTTCAGTGAACTGAGTTGATCTAGTCTCACTAGTGCTAGTATTTCTGATTGGTCTTTTAGTTCATTCTGTACAGCTTATGTCAGACTAATGTCATTTTGAGGCATTGCCGTTCACTATATTAGTAGTAGTAGATAAGAGTTCATGTAATGTGTTTTATTTTTCCTGTTTATTGGAACACTAACCGTGCTCATGTTGTACACGCATGACAACAAAAGTAACAAGCAGCGAGAATGTTGTTATGTTCCATGAGTTTTGCACTGAGAAATTAAGTCAAAATGATTTCTACTCAAGCGAAGATACTATGTGTTGTCAACTGTCAGCTGTTTGTTGCCGATGAACGCATTGTATATGTAGTAGATACGACTATCATTAGTTGCGGAATACGTGAATACCACACCAGCACAAATGCTACTAGCCCTAGCTTGGAGTGGGAAGAGAATGCAGCACAACTAACCTCACGAAGCGGAAGCACAGTCGCCGCCCACGAGATCTTCGACGGCCGAAGTCGCCACCGACCAGGACTGGACAAGCGACTCTCGAGCATTTCGCCGAACACCCTGAACGCCTCGCCTCAAGCAGCGAAGAAGCGGCTCCGCCTCCGCTCCACCAGGCCTGCCCTGGCATTGCGTCGAACAGTCGAAGGGAGTCGCCGTCGCGCGACGGCAGGCTTCCCGGTGGAGGAGAAGCGCCCGCGGGTGGTGGCGGAAGCCCAGGAGAGGGAGACGGGACCGCAAATCCGGCCACCCTGTCGCCGCCGGTCGCCGCCGCCTCCCCCGCCGCTAATCTTCTGGGAGAAGATGGGAAGCTTTTGGGCTCGTGTTGGGCCCGAAGAGAAACGACCACATGAGGCCCACGAATTTCAGCCTAACTTAAGACAGTTACTGTCTTACTGATGTCTTCTCTCAAAAAAAAAGAGAAGAAAAGAAAAGAAAACTGCGATGTCTATCTACTCTCTGTATAGACGGAAGTCCTAATATAATGTTTGCAGAAATTGAATAATGATCGTATAAACAGAGAATGATTAGAATCACAACATTTCATACAAGCAATAAATGAGTAAAATTGCAGATATCTCATGCGCATATTGGAATTAGAAACAGGAAAAAATATATGATTATTACAAAAAGATTGGTCAACAACACAACGGAACAAAATAATTGAAGGGCACTACACCTACTATAGAGCATCAAAATGATCTCACCTGAAATTTTTAGAAGGATCTCAAAACGCAAATTGGAATTGAAATTACAAAACATGATCATGATAAAAAGAAAAGGAGGGCAAGTGTTACACCAGCTTCAATGAGCCCCATATTCTTGTGCAATTCTGTGGCTCCCGTCCGTTTCAATAAACCAGCGGCCTCATCTTTTCGCTTATATACTTATACTTATCAGCTAAATTTTGAATTTTCAACTTTAAATTTAGATTTGATTTTGAGATTTTTTTCATCATGGTTTATTTTTTAGTCTTTACTTTTAGATTGTTAAGAATACGTATATACAAGTTTTATTTACAAATTATTTTTCATTTGTAAATATACCGTTTCGCTTATGCCCAAAAGCAGTGAAATGATAATGTCTGCACAAGAACGAAGAATCAGCCTCCACCATGGTGTCCCTCCCACCTCCAAGTGTTCAACCAGCTTGCCCCTGTCACATATAGGCCTCACGCGCTAACCGGTTTACTTCAAGTCTTCACACACTTCCAAAAATGAGATTTGATAATTTCGCCCTCCACAAAAGTGGGCTTCGATTATTTAACATTATAGCCCACTTTCATTTATCCGAATGGTCCCATGTGCCATTCTCTCAAGTATTAATTAAAACAAATCCACAACGAATAAAGTGTCAAATTATCAAATTTCTCACGAGAATTCAGAGTCACAGTGGTGGAACCAGAAGAGGAAACCGCTGCAAACGTGTGGAGCAAAAAAGCCAAAGCGCACGCTTTTCCGACAGAAAGTAAACGGTCAAGAAGATGAGAGAAATAGACCAGGTCACCACTCACCAGTCGCCACCACCAGTTGTGCTCAATTTGTTCTTGTCCAAACCATGTACACACCAATGACCACGCCGCCGCCAATGATTTCTCCAAATTATGTGCACCTCTCGGAATGATGATTTCCATGTAACGTAGTACCATCTTTCCAAGTGAATCTTTGCAAATCTTCAGCAATCTTGCAAACTAAGTAATCTAGTTAACCTTGACCTTGGAGGGAACAATTTGAGTGGCAGGGATTCCAGAATCTATAGGTAAACTCAAGAAATTAGAGGAACTCCATTTAGGCTACAACAACATGTATGGAGAGATCAGATGTGCCATCGACTCCGAGCAGCTGCACAAATCTCGAAACCATAGATTAGATATCAAGAGCAACAACTTCAGTGGAGAGCTCTCCAAGATCATTTTCTCCACCTTACCCAATTTTTACAAACTTTACATCTTATGCTTAACAACTTCAAAGGAACAATTCCGCAAAGCATATATTCATGCATCAATCTAGTTAAGAGTTGCCAAAATTAAGTAGCAAACCAAATATCTATGCGATATTATTAAAGTTGTCAAAAAAATGGTAGGGCAAAAAATAGCTTCAATCCAAACAAGCCCTAAAATAATTTTGCTATGGAATTGTATAGGTCGTATCGAGAAACTTGATATCAAAATGTCAAGAACTTGATATTCCTCGTACAATCGTAATAAAATTGGTAGGGCAAAAATTAGCTTCAATCCAAACAAGCCCTAAAATAATTTTGCTATGGAATTGTATAGGTCGTATCAAGAAACTTGATATCAAAATGTCAAGAACTTGATATCCCTCGTACAATCAGAATAAAGTTTTTCTATGCTTCCCTGTGGTGTCCCAACTCCCAAGTGATCAGCCTGCTGCCACTTGCAGCCCTCACACGCTACCTTCTTTTTTTTAGAGAAGGGTATTTTTTACCCGGCCTCTACATCCAACTGGATATATACGGCCATTGAAATAGGGAACTTAGCCCCGCAAACAACCTAATCTCTGAAATTCGCTCCTATGAAGATTTGAACTCAGAACCTTGGGGTATTACTCAGGTCACTGCAATCACTAGACTACACCCTAGCTTACTTAAACTCTTCAAGCATCTTCAGAAGCTTTGTTTCTTTTTACAGACATGAGTCCTTTCCTCCTTACCAAAAGGTATGCATCCTTGTGTAAAAAAATGACCGTATTAGTAGCACGCAAACATATCTGTCAAGGGAAGAGAAATGGTGTCAGATCAAGTGAATTTAGGATTGCTGTAACAATGTCAATGTCATAAGGATTGAAATAAATAAAAATGATTAAAGGAAAATTGAAATAAATAAAAATGATTAAAGGAAAATAACTTGTACGGTCAGGGAGGCAGACCACTCAGACTTTTCAATAGAAGATTTTATGAAGTCCTTGACCTGTATTTCTTTTTTATGACTTCGAGTAGAAAAACAGAATAAAGTTGTCACGTGCTAGGAAAATGGAAGCAAGAGCCACTTCTTTCTTCCTCCTCAAGCTCTTTCTTGATTAGATCATCTCATGCTTTGCCCAGTCAGAAACTCAGGATACAAACTAAGCATAAGGCTTCCATGCTAGTATCACCAGAAAACCATGCAGCCACCTCATTCTTCATGCAAGACACAAAGCAACAGATTTCCCATACCTGTTCTTGGTCTTGCCCTTGTGCTACTGCTCAACTTCACCTCTCCCACCAGTTCATGTACAAAGCAAGAGAAGAGCACCCTCCTCAATTTCCTCACGGGGTTTTCTCAGGATGGGGGCCTCAGCATGTCATGGAAGGATGGCATGGATTGTTGCGAATGGGAAGGGATAAACTGCAGCCAAGATAAGACCGTGACTGAAGTTTCATTGCCTTCCAGGAGCCTCGAGGGGCACATCTCACCATCTCTTGGCAACCTGACTGGATTGTTGCGCCTCAATCTGTCCTACAACCTGCTATCCGGTGCCATACCGCAGGAATTAGTGTCTTCCAGAAGTCTCATTGTCATCGACATCAGCTTTAACCGCCTGAATGGAGGTCTCGATGAGTTGCCATCTTCAACCCCTGCCAGGCCACTGCAGGTACTAAACATCTCAAGCAATTTGTTTAAAGGACAGTTTCCATCCTCCACATGGAAAGTGATGAAAAATCTGGTCAAACTCAATGTCAGTAACAACAGCTTTAGTGGGCATATACCAACTAATTTCTGCACCAACTCACCATCCTTCGCTGTGCTTGAGCTCAGTTACAACCAATTCAGTGGGGGCGTTCCCCCTGAACTTGGAAATTGCTCCATGCTCAGAGTCCTCAAGGCTGGCAACAACAACCTTAGTGGGACTCTCCCAGACGAACTCTTCAATGCTACCTCGTTGGACTGCCTCTCTTTTCCCAACAATAATTTAGAAGGAAACATTGGTAGTACACCTGTAGTAAAACTCAGTAATGTGGTAGTACTTGATCTTGGAGGGAACAACTTCAGTGGCATGATTCCAGATACTATAGGTCAGCTCAGTAGATTGCAGGAGCTCCATTTGGACAACAATAACTTGCATGGTGAGCTTCCATCGGCTTTGGGCAATTGCAAATATCTCACAACCATCAACCTCAAGAGCAACAGCTTCAGCGGAGATCTAGGCAAGGTCAACTTCTCCACATTGCCCAATCTGAAAACTTTAGATATTGACATGAACAACTTTAGTGGTAAAGTTCCAGAAAGCATCTACTCATGTAGCAACTTGATTGCACTGCGGCTCTCGTATAACAATTTCTACGGTGAGCTGTCATCAGAAATAGGCAAGCTGAAGTACCTCTCGTTCCTATCTTTGAGTAACAATTCTTTTACAAATATCACAAGAGCTCTTCAGATCCTTAAGAGCTCCACGAACCTTACCACCCTGTTTATTGCGTACAACTTCATGGAAGAGGTCATTCCACAGGATGAAACCATTGATGGTTTCGAGAATCTCCAGGCTCTCTCAGTAGACCACTGTTCATTATCAGGAAGAATACCACTTTGGCTATCAAAGCTCACAAACTTGAAGTTACTATTTTTATCCAACAATCAACTAACTGGACCAATACCAGACTGGATTAGCTCACTAAACCGCCTGTTCTATCTGGATATATCAAACAACAGCCTAGCAGGAGAAATCCCAATTACCTTGATGGACATGCCAATGATAAGAACAACCCAGAATAAGACCTATTCAGAGCCTAGTTTCTTTGAGCTACCTGTTTATGATGGTAAATTTCTTCAATACCGTACACGTACTGCTTTTCCGACACTGTTGAATCTAAGCCTAAACAAGTTCATGGGTGTGATCCCCCCACAAATTGGTCAGTTAAAAATGCTTGTCGTACTTGATTTCAGCCACAACAATTTATCAGGACAGATCCCACAATCAGTTTGCAGCCTCACAAGTCTGCGAGTTCTCGATTTATCCAATAACAACCTCACAGGTTCAATTCCTGGTGAACTGAATAGCCTGAACTTCCTTTCAGCATTCAATGTTTCAAACAATGACCTTGAAGGTCCTATTCCCATAGGAGCTCAGTTTAGTACATTTCCAAATTCCAGCTTTGATGGTAACCCAAAGCTGTGTGGCTCTATGCTCACTCACAAATGCAAATCAGCAGAAGAAGCCTCAGCATCCAAAAAACAGTTGAACAAAAGGGTCATTCTTGCAATAGTATTTGGGGTGCTTTTTGGAGGGGCCGCAATTGTTTTGCTATTGGCGCACTTCCTTTTCTCGCTCAGGGATGCAATTCCCAAAATCGAAAACAAAAGCAACACTAGTGGAAATCTGGAGGCCGGTTCGTTCACCTCTGATCCAGAGCATTTGTTGGTAATGATACCACGAGGCAGTGGAGAAGCAAACAAACTCACATTCACTGATCTCATGGAGGCTACAGATAACTTCCATAAGGAGAATATTATAGCATGTGGAGGTTATGGGCTAGTGTACAAAGCTGAGTTACCCAGTGGCTCCACACTCGCAATCAAGAAGCTCAATGGAGAAATGTGCCTCATGGAAAGGGAGTTTGCAGCAGAGGTTGAAGCCCTATCCATGGCACAGCATGACAATCTTGTGCCTTTGTGGGGATACTGCATCCAGGGAAACTCGAGGCTACTCATATATTCTTACATGGAAAATGGTAGCCTGGACGACTGGCTTCATAATAGGGATGACGAAACCAGCTCATTTCTTGACTGGCCAACACGTTTCAAGATTGCACGAGGAGCAAGCCAGGGTCTTTCGTATATCCATGATGTCTGCAAGCCTCACATTGTCCACCGTGACATCAAGTCCAGCAACATTCTACTTGACAAAGAATTCAAAGCTTATGTCGCTGATTTTGGGTTGTCAAGATTGATCCTTCCGAACAAAAACCACATCACAACAGAGCTAGTCGGCACTCTAGGTTACATCCCACCTGAGTATGGACAAGGATGGGTTGCTACCTTAAGAGGCGATGTGTACAGTTTTGGAGTGGTCCTGCTTGAGCTACTCACAGGAAGACGGCCTGTTTCAATCCTCTCTACATCAGAGGAACTTGTTCCATGGGTACTAGAAATGAAGTCCAAGGGAAACATGCTTGAGGTCCTGGATCCAACACTCCAAGGCACAGGGAATGAAGAGCAGATGCTCAAGGTGCTTGAAGTTGCTTGCAAATGTGTCAACTGTAATCCTTGCATGCGGCCAACTATCACAGAGGTAGTTTCCTGCCTGGACAGTGTAGGCTCCGACTGAAGATATAGAAGGCACAAGGCAGTCAAGGTAGATTGCAGTTATACAATGACAAAATTGTAGCTCAGTGCATAGAGCAAATGTGGTATTACGTAGTAGTAGTTTTTCTGGTCTTGTAACATGTTGTGTACAGCTGCTGACATATTACCATTTTGCACTTTTGTATCTTCTCAGGAGTTTTTAGTTTCATAACCAGACATTTCTCCTCCACTGAAGGAAGTGCTGAGTACGCTCAATTGGCGAAAAGCATGAGGAAAAGTATAAACAAGTGAAAAGATCATCCTGTTCCTTTTTTCGCTGGGACGGCAGAAGGACGCCATCTGAATTTCATTAGATTTTAAAAGGAGTTTAGTACATAAATGCTCGGCAAACTTAAATTGCCGGGGCAGCACCGCCTCACGGCAGTGAAACGCTAGGAGCTACACTTGTCTACAACCAGAGCTAGACTAGGCCAGCCTCCTGCCAAATCATCCTGTTCTTTGTGTGCTCAAACAAATCGAGTGCAAATGCTAAGGCAATTAGGTGATATCAGCACTCTTGTTTCTGATTGACGTACATAGAAACCACAGGAATCTAATGAATACATGCCAGAAATGTGTGATTCAAGTATGGAAGAGAATGAGAATGCAACGCAGTTTTTGGGGTGGTAGGGATAAAACTCTGTGATCACCAGAAGCTGAACACGCATCTAGTCAATCAAAAGAATGAGAGTACCAACCACGTAAAAAGATCGATATAGTGAAGAATGTGGTAAGCCATTAACTCCAGTATACAAGGCAAAGCTACCTGATGGCTCCAAGATTGCCATCAAGAAGCTCAAAGGTGAAATGTGCGTGATGGATATAAACTAAACAAAAGTTTTTAGGAACACTACTCGTGCTCAAGTTGCACAGGCATGAAAAGTAACAATGACTGAGAACATTAAGTTTTTAACTCAGAAATTAAGTCAGAATGGTTTCGGTTCAAGTGAAGATACTAGGTGTTGCCAGATGTTTGTTGCCGATCAACGCATTCTTAATACCGGAAGAGAATAGATAAGTGAACCACACCAGCACAAATGCTAAGCCCTAGCATGGGACGGGGAGATAATGCAGCATCACTAACCTCGCGAAGCCGAAGCGCTTGGAGAGAGCTTGGCATTGCAGCACGCACTCACGAAGCATGGTCCCTTCGCCTCCACGAGATCTTCAACGGCCGGACTCGCCGCCGGCCAGATTCTCGAGCATTTCGCCGAACACCCTGAGCGCACCGCCTAACAGCGAAGAAGCGGCTCCACCACCTCCGCTCGGCCGCTCCACCAGGCCAGCCCTGGCATTGCGTCGAACAGTCAAAGGGCGCGGTGGGCGGAAGCCAGGAGAGGGATACGGAACCGCAATTCCGGCCACCCGTCGCCGCCGGTCGCCGTCGCCTCCCCCCGCCGCTAATCTGGAAGAAGATGGAAGCTTTCGGGCTCGTGTTGGGCCCGAAGGGAAACGACCACACGAGGCCCACACATTCCAGCCCAACTTAAGGCTAATCGATGAATCCATCCCTTGGCATAACGGCGATGTCTATGATTTTATGGACAGAAGCACTAGTATGATCATTGCAGAAATTCAATTATAAATTGTATAAACAGAGATGATAGTACTCCCTCCGTCCCAAAATAAATACAGTTTTGCGATATTAGTGTCCAACGTTTGATCGTTCGTCTTATTTGAAAAAAAATATGATTAGTATTTTTATTGTTAATAAATGATAAAACATGAATAGTCCTTTTAAGTGTAATTAATTTTTTAAAAAAATTCATAAAATTTTCAAATAAAACGGACGGTCAAACGTTGGACACGGATATCCATAGTTGCACTTATTTTGGAACAGAGGTAGTACTACTCGCTCCTTTTTTTTTTATGTTGGTTACCTCAACATTTGGTGAATGAGATAGTACCTCCATCCCAAAATGTTACTCCCTCCGTTTCACAATGTAAGTCATTCTAGTATTTTCCACATTCATATTGATGTTAATGAATCAAGATAAATATATATGTCTAGATTTATTGACATCAATATAAATGTGGAAAATGCTAAAATGATTTACATTGTGAAACAGAGTAAGTACTACATAATATAAGATGAGACATCATTGTTAAAATTCGTAGCACTAGGTAGTGCCTCATCTTACATTAGATAGCAACATTTTAGGATGAAGGTAGTACTATATAATTTTTGCGCATATAACGACTCGAATCACAGATTTTCATATAAGCCATAAACTAATGAGTAAAACTGCATATATCTCATGTGCAAATTGGAATAAGAAACAGAAAAGAAAAATGATCATGAAAAAAAGAAAGAAAGACTGTCTAGGTGGTTGCATACTTGCATTATGTCCCAAAGACAATGGAACAAAATAATTGAAGTGCACTAGACCTACTACCGAGCATCGAAATGATATCACCTGAACTTTTTAACAGACCTTCGTAAGCAAATCGGAATTAAAATTAGAAAAATATGTCCATGATAAAGGAGGACAAGTCTTACACCAGCTTGCAAAATGAGCCCAGATTCTAGTGCAATTCTGTGGCTCCAGTCCGTTCCATAGACCACATATGTCTGTACAAGAGTCAGGGCTCCACCATGATGTCCCAAGTGATATAGCTTGCCCCACATCATCCAGCCCTCATACGGTACCCATTGTACTTTTCTTCACGCTTCCAAAATTTCGACAGATTTGACAACTTGACATTCCACAAAAGTGGGCTTGGAGTATTTAACATCATGTTCTGGTCACTTTCATTCACTCAGATGGTCCCACATATCATTCGCACAAGTATCAATTAAAGCAAAACAACAATGAATAAAGTGTCAAATTATCAAATTTCTCCCAAATTTCCAGTCATAATCCATGGTCTATAATGATACAACAGTGGAGCCGGTAGAAGATGGAAAAAGAGCTGCAAACGTGTGGAGAAATAAGCCAAAGTGCACGCTTGATAACAGAAAGTAAACGGTCAAGAAGAAGAAGACAGCAACACACCGGGTCGCCCACTCACCACCACCACTTGTGCTCAATTTGTTCTTGTCCAAAATATGCGTACACACCATGACCACAACGCCAATGATTTCTCCAAATTATATGCACCTCTCGGAATGATGATTTTCCATGTACACAATTGCAAATCTTCAACCGAATTATCACAAAATACAAGCTGGGGAGAACCTGGTAACATAAGTGATATATACGGTCAAATATTAACCATGATGTAACAAGAGCAACGTGATAAGGATTGAGTAAAGAATTAATGCTTCAGTAAAAAAAAAACATATTGATCCGTGCCATAATATAGCAATCTAGTATCAGAGACCTGTCCAGATTCGTAGTACTATGATATATCCCATCCGGTAGTAGCTAGTATACCCAGGAAGGTTGACTGTGCAATAGATCATTCTACAGTCAACCGGTAGAGAATTTAACAGCACACGCGTTAACAAAGACCATGCATCAATCTTGTGAAAACTTAGCAAGTACTCCTTATAGGCTATTGCATCTAAATATCTAATCCTGGATGGACTGCGACCGGTAAGTCCAAAACAAAATTAGAAGCAAAAGTGGCTTCTTTCATCCTCCTCATGGCTCGTTCTTGACTACACAATTGATTCTTTACACGCCAAGCATCTTGTTTTGATCATAGTTTCATCAGAGAATCATGCAGCCACTCCATTTTCCATCATACAGGTATAGCAGCAAATTACCTACCATATCTTCCCTGAGCCTTGGTCTCCTGCTGCTGATCTCCTTGGCTTCTCTCACCAGCTCCTGCACAGAGCAGGAGAAGGGCTCTCTTCACCAGTTCCTCGCCGAGCTCTCGCAAGACGGCAACCTTTCCATGTCATGGCGGAATGATAGAAACTGCTGTGTCTGGGAAGGTATCACCTGCAACAGAAATGGAGCGGTCACTGATATCTCCTTGCAATCAAAGGGCCTTGAAGGGCACATCTCACCATCTCTTGGAAACCTTACTAGCCTGCTACGCCTCAACCTATCGCACAACTCGCTGTCCGGTTACCTACCATGGGAATTGGTTTCTTCCAGCAGTATCAGTGTCCTCGACGTCAGTTTTAACCGACTCAGAGGGGAGCTGCAAGACCCGCTATCTCCGATGACCGCTGTTCGGCCTCTGCAGGTACTGAACATCTCGAGCAACTCGTTTACAGGACAGTTTCCATCCACCACATGGAAGGCCATGAAGAACCTGGTTGCACTGAATGCCAGCAACAACAGATTTACTGGGCAGATATCGGATCATTTCTGCTCGAGCTCGCCATCCTTAATGGTGCTTGACCTTTGTTACAACCTGTTCAGTGGAGGCATACCCCCGGGGATTGGAGCTTGTTCCAGGCTAAATGTGCTCAAGGTTGGTCAAAACAATCTCAGTGGGACTCTCCCTGATGAACTCTTCAATGCCACCTCCTTGGAGCACCTGTCTGTTCCCAACAATGGTTTAAATGGAACACTCGATAGTGCGCATATCATGAAACTAAGTAATCTGGTTACACTTGATCTTGGAGGGAACAATTTCAATGGCAGGATTCCAGAATCTATAGGTGAACTCAAGAAATTAGAGGAACTCCTTTTGGGCCACAACAACATGTATGGAGAGGTGCCATCGACTCTGAGCAACTGCACAAATCTCAAAACCATAGATATCAAGAGCAACAGCTTCAGTGGAGAGCTCTCCAAGATCAATTTCTCCACCCTACCCAATTTACAAACTTTAGATCTTCTGCTTAACAACTTCAATGGAACAATTCCGCAAAACATCTATTCATGCAGCAATCTAATTGCATTGCGGATGTCTTCCAATAAATTCCATGGCCAGCTGCCAAAGGGAATAGGCAATCTGAAGTCCCTCTCCTTCCTTTCAATTTCCAACAATTCTCTTACGAATATCACTGATACACTTCAGATACTCAAGAACTCCAGGAGCCTCAGCACTTTGCTTATGGGAGTGAACTTCAATGGTGAGCTTATGCCAGAGGATGAAACAATTGATGGCTTTGAGAATCTGCAATTTGTATCAATTGATGACTGTTCATTGATTGGGAACATACCATTTTGGTTATCAAAACTCACTAATTTGCAGATGTTAGATTTATCTAACAATCAACTCACTGGACAAATACCTGCCTGGATTAACAGACTAAACTTCCTCTTCTATCTTGATATATCAAACAATAGCTTGACAGGGGGGATCCCAACAGCTTTGATGGAGATACCAAGGCTCATATCAGCAAATTCTACACCATATTTTGACCCAGGGATCCTGCAGCTTCCTATTTATACAGGACCATCACTTGAATACCGTGGATTTCGTGCTTTCCCAGCAACATTAAATCTAGCCAGGAACCATCTCATGGGTGCAATCCCACAAGAGATTGGCCAACTAAAAATGCTCCGGACACTCAATATCAGCTTCAATAGTATTTCAGGAGAGATCCCACAACCGCTTTGCAACCTTACGGATCTGCAGGTGCTCGACTTATCCAATAACCATCTCATAGGTACAATCCCATCTGCACTGAACAATCTGCATTTCCTTTCTAAGCTCAATGTTTCTAACAATGATCTGGAAGGGTCTATTCCAACTGGAGGTCAGTTTAGTACATTTCAAAATTCTAGCTTTGTTGGAAACTCAAAGCTGTGTGGCTCAAATATCTTCCGCAGCTGTGATTCATCAAGAGCACCTTCAGTGTCCAGAAAACAACACAAAAAGAAAGTTATTTTAGCAATCACACTCAGCGTGTCTGTTGGAGGCATTATCATTCTTTTATCCCTGAGTAGTCTCCTCGTGTCACTCAGGGCTACAAAGTTGATGAGAAAAGGGGAATTAGCTAACAACAGAAATGAAGAAACAGCCTCATTCAATCCAAATTCAGACCATTCATTGATGGTGATGCCACAAGGCAAGGGAGACAATAACAAGCTTACGTTTGCAGACATCATGAAGACTACAAATAACTTCGATAAGGAGAACATCATAGGTTGTGGAGGTTATGGATTAGTCTACAAGGCTGAGCTACCTGATGGCTCCAAGTTAGCTATCAAGAAGCTCAATAGTGAAATGTGCCTGATGGAAAGGGAATTCACTGCAGAGATTGAAGCACTCACCATGGCGCAGCATGACAATCTTGTGCCACTCTGGGGTTACTGTATACATGGAAACTCGAGGCTGCTTATATATTCTTACATGGAGAATGGCAGCTTAGACGATTGGCTTCACAACAGGGATGATGATGCTAGCTCATTTCTTGATTGGCCAACCAGGCTCAAGATTGCTCAAGGAGCAAGCCTAGGTATTTCTTACATCCATGATGTATGCAAGCCTCATATTGTCCATCGTGACATCAAATCCAGCAACATCCTGCTCGACAAAGAATTCAAAGCTTATATTGCAGATTTTGGACTATCAAGGTTGATCCTTCCTAGCAAAACTCATGTCACAACTGAGCTAGTTGGCACCCTGGGTTACATCCCCCCTGAGTATGGGCAATCATGGATTGCTACATTGAGAGGCGACATATACAGTTTCGGAGTGGTCCTGCTTGAGCTTCTCACGGGAAGACGGCCTGTTCCTTTACTGTCTACATCAAAGGAACTTGTCCCGTGGGTACAGGAGATGAGATCAGTGGGAAAACAGATCGAGGTCCTGGATCCAACAGTTCGAGGCATGGGGTATGATGAGCAAATGCTAAAGGTGCTTGAAACTGCCTGCAAGTGTGTCAACTATAATCCTTTGATGAGGCCAACTATCATGGAAGTAGTTGCTAGTCTGGACAGTATAGACGCTGACCGAAACACATAACATCAATGATAGATAATTTTGTACTTTCACCCAACAGGAGTTTATGTAATTTCACTAGAATTAGTACTTCTGACTGACTTGTCTTATAGTTCGTTCTCCGCGGCTTGTGACAGACTACTATCATTTCAGGGCATTGAGTGCTGAAAGAATTCGTCTTGCTTTGATCCTTCACTTGTTTGTTGAAACACTATTTATGCTCAAGTTGTACAGGCATGACAAAAAGGTAGAAACAACGTCAAAAAGGTTAGAAAGATACCAAGATATTCTGCTATAAGCAGTTTGTTTCCGATCATCAATGTGTTATTGAAAAAATTAACTAGGTCAGCACTACTAACCATGTTGGTTGTGAAATTCTGCTAACCAAGATATTTTGCTAAGTTGGTTGTGAAATGCGTTGATAAAATACCAGCACAAATGCTAGGGACTAGCATGGAGCTGAAAGAGAAGGCAGCACAACTGACCATGTCGAAGGAGGCGCACTGGCGCGCGTGAAGAGAGCGCGGCATTGTCGGCACGCACTCACGAAGCATGGCCCCTCAGTCGCCTGGTCGACGAGCCCACCTCCACGAGATCTTCGACGGCCGCAGTCGGCGCCCGACCGGAACTGGACAGCCTCTCGGGCATTTCGCCGAACACCCTGAGCAAGGCGCCTCACAGCAAAGCGGCTCCGTTCCACTTCCACCAGACCAACCCCAACCCCTCCCCCTGGCATTGCGTCGAACAGTCGAAGGGCGTCGCCGCGTCGCCGTCGCGCGGCGTCATGCTGCCCGGTGACACGGTCCCGGAGGAGGAGCAAACGGCAAATCCGCGGCGCCGCGGGCAGCCGGCCACCTGTCGCCGCCGGTCGCCTCCCCGCCGCTAGTCTGGGAGAAGTATCGAAGCTTTCGGGCTCGTGTTGGGCCCGGAGAGAAACGACCACACGAGGCCCATGTATTCCAGCCCAACTTAATTTCATCGTTGGCTTATCAGTCGTAGTTAAAATTTAGGAATAAGAGCAGTTACAATAGCAGGCTATAAGCCAGCTACAAACATATTTTAAGCAGATAAATAAGGAGAGAGAAGCGCAGCGGGCTACAGATTTATAGCACGGACTCCAAGACGCAGTGTGTGTATGATAGGTGAGACTAGATATTAATAGTGTAGTATGTAACTATTGTATGAATGAGCTATTAGATTGGTTATAGATGAATTGGAGCTAGTAGTTGGCTATACTATTAAACTTACTCTAAGTTCACAATACAATTTCTTCCCAGGAGATGGATCGGAGTGCAGATGGAGCTTTGTTCAAAATCATTAGGGCCCTGTTAATCACTTCTTTTGATATCTGTTTGCCCTAGAATCTGTAACAAGGTGGCCGATCGAATGGCCTCCTATGGAGCTGTTACCGTGGCCCCTGGCTCAACTTGTTACTGGAGCCAAGCCCCGGAGTTTGTAACTAGTTTGGTCTCCGCCTCTCCGGCGATTTGTCCGAGGCTGCTGGTTAATGGAAACTAAAGTTATCCGTGTCAAAAAAAAAAGAAGTTAACAATACAATTCTAAAAAAAAAAAAGTTCACAATACCCTAAACTATATTTGGTATGGTTAGTTGATTTTAGGGTTTTTATATGGTAGTCTATTCTTTTCGGTCTTGGCTTTTAAACCACAAAAAAAAAATTGTAATACCTCGTTCATTTTTCTACGGATTTCAGCCGAAGTCTAACCAATTAGAATTGTTTTTTTTTCCCTACATGCCGTCGTTTGTTAGAGAACAGCAGAAATTGAATTATGATCATATAAACAGAGATGGTAAGGGATAGTATAGTATAACCTTTGCGCATAGAACGATTGGAATTACACTTCATATATACACCATAAATGAGTAAATTTGCAAATACCTCGTACGCAAACTGGAATTAGAAACAGAAAAAGAAATATATGACCATGACTTAAAAAAAATACAATTTTTACACAACGGTTCAATTAAACTAAGGCTTGTGTAGCTCCAGGTCCAGGAAGTACATTCAAGAGTACTCTACATTCAACCATGTCTACACCGATGAGGCTCTTCTACTTACCTCTGACGTGTAGGCCCATAAGGGTTAGCCTGTTGGTGCGTAATCCGTTTATAGATTTATTGTACTAAGTTATGTCATATTCTATTATCGGTTAAGTTATTTTAGAACGGAAGAATACATAAGATGATTATGTGTGATCAACCAGTATCCCCTGTGGTGTCCTAAATCCCGATGCAACTATGCAAGTGATCAGCCAGATGGCATCCACAGGGGATATGCTTCCAAAATTCAGATGGCATCCACAACCACAAAGCGTCATAATAGTCCATGCCTCCATGGGTCAACAGTCATACAACGGCGAAGCCTGAAGGATGGATAACAGCTGAACGTGTGGAGCAAATAAGCCAACCAACGCGCACGCTTGACAGCAGAAAGTAAACGCCTTGGCCCTTGCGTGATCGTCTCAACAACAACAACAACAATAATAATAGAGACGAGATAGTCACCAGATTACCAACCAATCAGCTGTGTTTGTTGGTGTCCAGAGCATGTGCCGCACCACGACCGCGACGCCGATGATTGCTCTAGATTATATGCAACTCTCCGAATGATGCTTCCCATGTACCACCTGCAAAGCTGATCTTACAAATCTTCACCAGCTGTGTTTCTTGATCTTCTCACAGAAGAAAAACGTGAATATTAGGGAAGAACCTAATATCAAATAAATAGAAGGGGTGAGATTTCGAACCAACGCCGGCTAGCCCACCACCTTGTGGAACTAGTCGGAAGATCCCTGGGCGTTTCTCCTTGATCTTCTCAAGGATGAACAAATTTGTACGCATCAGTGGCAACTGGCAAGCTAACAGGTCTTTCATGGCTTCAGGGGTGCAGCTGGTAAGAGAAGTGATGTCAGATGGAGTCAATTAATCCATGTTGTAACAATGTCAATGTGACAACGATTAAAATAAAAAATGGTCCAAACAAAAGGAAATAACTTGCACGATCAGGGAGGTCGGCCACTTGATGTTTCAATAGTACTCGCTAGTGAGACGTCATACCGAAGAAGACAGGCGAAACTGGATGCTATATAACCATATTTTGCCAAGAAGATATTGTGGCAGTATCTGTAAAAGTCCTAATGAATATCCATAGGCTATATCACCTAATCTTTGACATGTATTTCTTTTTTATGATTACGACTAGTATACCAGAATAAAATGGAAGCAAGGGCAGCTTCTCTCTTCCTCCTGATGCTCTTCATTGATTAGTCCTATCCAGTCAGGAACAAAGCTCAGCATCAGGTTTTTCATGTTAGTTTCACCAGAAAACCATGCAGCTACTTCATTACAAGAAACACAGCAACAAATTTCCCATACCTGTTCTTGCCCTTGCGCTGGTGCTGCTCATCAACCTCGCCTCTCTCACCAGTTCATGTACAGAGCAGGACAGGAGCTCCCTCCTCAAGTTCATCAGGGAGCTCTCTCAGGATGGAGGCCTCTCTGCATCATGGCAGGACGGCACAGATTGCTGCAAATGGGACGGGATCGCCTGCAGCCAAGATGGGACGGTAACTGATGTTTCTCTGGCTTCTAGGAACCTTCAGGGGAACATCTCACCGTCTCTTGGCAACCTCACTGGATTGCTGCGTCTCAATCTCTCCCACAACATGCTATCTGGTGCCTTACCACAAGAATTGGTGTCTTCCAGCACTATCATCATCGTTGACGTCAGCTTTAACAGGCTGAATGGAGGTCTCAACGAGTTGCCATCTTCAACCCCTATCAGGCCACTGCAGGTACTCAACATCTCAAGTAATTTATTTACAGGGCAGTTTCCATCTTCCATATGGGATGTGATGAAAAATCTGGTCGCCCTCAATGTCAGCAGTAATAAGTTTACTGGGAAGATACCGACTCGTTTTTGTGACAGCTCATCAAATTTATCTGTGCTTGAACTATGTTACAATCAATTCAGTGGCAGCATCCCCTCAGGACTTGGTAATTGCTCCATGCTCAAAGTTCTGAAGGCTGGTCACAACAAGCTCAGTGGGACACTCCCAGGTGAACTCTTCAATGATGTCTCATTGGAGTACCTATCTTTTCCTAACAATAATTTGCATGGGGAAATTGATGGTACACAGATAGCAAAACTGAGAAATCTAGTAACTCTTGATCTGGGAGGGAATCAGTTCATTGGCAAGATTCCAGATTCTATCAGCCAACTGAAGAGATTGGAGGAGTTACATTTGGACAGCAACATGATGTCTGGCGAGTTGCCCGGAACTCTGGGCAGCTGCACAAATCTCTCAATCATTGATCTCAAGCACAATAACTTCAGTGGAGATCTTGGCAAAGTCAATTTCTCCGCTCTACACAATCTAAAAACTTTAGATCTTTACTTCAACAACTTCACCGGCACAATTCCAGAAAGCATCTATTCATGCAGCAATTTGACAGCCCTACGGTTATCAGGCAACCATTTCCATGGAGAGTTGTCACCGGGAATAATCAATCTGAAGTATCTTTCCTTCTTCTCACTTGATGACAACAAGCTTACTAACATCACAAAAGCACTTCAGATCCTTAAAAGTTGCAGCACCATTACCACCCTGCTTATTGGGCACAACTTTAGAGGAGAGGTCATGCCACAGGACGAAAGTATTGATGGTTTTGGGAATCTTCAAGTTCTTGACATAAACAGTTGCTTGTTGTCTGGGAAAATACCTCTATGGTTATCCAGGCTCACGAATCTGGAGATGCTACTTTTAAATGGCAATCAACTCACAGGACCAATACCAAGATGGATTGATTCCTTAAACCACCTGTTCTATATAGATGTATCAGACAACAGACTTACAGAAGAAATTCCGATCACCTTGATGAATTTGCCAATGCTAAGATCAACATCAGACATAGCCCATTTGGACCCAGGGGCTTTTGAGCTTCCTGTTTATAACGGGCCATCATTTCAATACCGCACGCTTACTGGCTTCCCTACGTTGTTGAATCTGAGCCATAACAACTTCATAGGTGTGATTTCCCCAATGATTGGTCAGTTGGAAGTGCTTGTTGTGCTTGATTTCAGCTTCAACAACTTATCTGGGCAGATCCCACAATCAATTTGCAACCTCACAAGCCTCCAGGTTCTACATTTGTCCAATAACCATCTCACAGGTGAAATCCCTCCTGGACTAAGCAATCTGAACTTCCTCTCAGCATTCAATATTTCCAACAATGACCTAGAGGGGCCTATTCCAACTGGAGGCCAATTTGATACATTCTCAAACTCAAGCTTCGAAGGAAACCCAAAGCTTTGTGACTCTAGGTTCAATCACCACTGCAGTTCAGCAGAAGCAAGTTCAGTGTCCAGAAAAGAACAGAATAAAAAAATCGTTCTCGCAATATCATTTGGTGTCTTCTTTGGAGGGATTTGCATTCTTTTGTTGCTAGGGTGTTTCTTTGTCTCAGAAAGGAGCAAACGCTTCATAACCAAAAATAGTAGTGACAACGATGGTGATTTAGAAGCAGCTTCATTCAACTCTGATTCAGAGCATTCATTGATAATGATTACACGAGGAAAGGGAGAAGAAATCAACCTCACATTTGCTGACATTGTGAAAGCTACAAATAACTTCGACAAGGCGCATATCATTGGGTGTGGAGGCTATGGGCTAGTCTACAAAGCTGAGTTACCAGATGGTTCCAAGATCGCTATCAAGAAGCTCAATAGTGAAATGTGTCTAACAGAAAGGGAATTCAGTGCAGAGGTTGATGCACTATCCATGGCACAGCATGCCAATCTCGTGCCCTTCTGGGGTTACTGCATCCAGGGCAATCTGAGGCTCCTCATATACTCCTTAATGGAGAATGGTAGTTTAGACGATTGGCTTCACAATTGGGATGATGATGCCAGCTCATTTCTCGACTGGCCAACCAGGCTGAAGATTGCACAGGGAGCAAGTCAGGGCCTTCATTACATCCATGATGTCTGCAAGCCTCATATCGTCCACCGTGATATCAAGTCCAGCAATATATTACTTGACAAAGAATTCAAATCGTATATTGCAGATTTTGGGCTGTCAAGGTTGGTCCTTCCCAACATAACCCATGTCACAACTGAACTAGTTGGCACTCTGGGTTACATTCCCCCTGAATATGGGCAATCATGGGTTGCTACATTGAGAGGTGATATGTATAGTTTCGGAGTGGTCCTGCTAGAGCTTCTCACGGGGAGGCGCCCTGTTCCAATCTTGTCTACATCAGAGGAACTTGTCCCATGGGTACATAAGATGAGATCAGAGGGAAAGCAGATTGAGGTGTTGGATCCAACACTTCGAGGCACAGGGTGCGAAGAGCAAATGCTAAAGGTGCTCGAAACTGCTTGCAAGTGTGTTGACTGTAATCCTTTGAAGAGGCCAACTATCATGGAAGTTGTCACTTGTCTGGACAGTATAGGCACTGAAATAAAGATATAAAATTATAAAAACATGATAGATAATTTTGTAGTTCCCTATAAGTAGTACTTCTGACTTGTCTTATAGTTTGTTATGTACAGCTTGGGACAGACTAATATCATTTCAGCAAATTGATGTTACTTGTTTTTGCTTAGTGAATGTTTAATTCCATCAAAAAGTGTTTTAAGTGATTCTCTTCCTTTCCCTGTTTCTTGAAACACTATCCACACCCAAGTTGTACAGGCATGACAAAAAGTACAAACAAGTGAGAACATGGTTATGATCCTTGAGTTTTTTACTGAGAGAGTCGAAATTGTTTCCATTCAAGTGAAGATACCAAGATACTCCATCTGTTTCAAATTATTTGTCACTCTATGTTTTTTCCTAAGTCAAATACATCTATCTTTGAAAGTATGTCTTATGATGAATCTAAAAATATAATATATAGAAACTGATGGTCAAAGATTAAAATGTTTGACTTAGTACAAACCTAGAACGGCAAGTAATTTGAAACGGAGAGAGTATTTAGGATTTAGCTGCTGCCCGCCATTTGTTTCCGCTCAACGCATTCTAGAAATGATGACTAAAGTTGGTTGTAACCTAGATAAAATACCAGAACAAACGATAGGCACTAGCATGGAGTATTGGAGTGGAAAGAAAATGCAGCACAACTAACCATCTCGAAGGAGCAGCACGAACTCACGCAGCACCAACCAATCCCTGATCGACATTCTCAACCGCACGAGCTCTTCTACGGCCACGGTCACCCGCCGCCCGTGGCAAGACACTCGAGCATTTCGCCGAACACCCTGAGAGCGCGCCGATACACAGGGAAGCGGCCCACCCTTCCCCCAGAGTTGCCAGGCACGGGCCGGGAGGAGCAAGCTCGCAGCGCTGCGGGGGTGGTGGCGGAAGCCAGGACAGGATACGGAGCCGCGAGCACGCCACTCGCCGGAGGGATTTGAGGAGCGACGGCGGCAGAGAGGGACATTGTCGCCGCCGGTCTGGGGGAAGAACGAATGCCTGTGGATTGTGTTGGGCCTAAATGGGAACGACCACTTGAGGAGTTGAGGCCCATGTATTCCGGCCCAACTCAAAGAAGAGCAAAAAAAAAAAAAAAGTCCAAGGAATCCTAAATTCCTAATGGCCTGTTCGTAGCTGCTGGGAATTTTTTTTTTACATGAAAGAGAGAGCTTTATTAATGATTAAATCAAAGCATTCGAAACGAGAAAAATGTTTTAGTACATGATTTATTAAATATTAACTATCATAAAATTAAAAAAAAAATAGTTTTACTTGAATTTCTAAACAACTTCTGTATATTTTTTTTAACAAATACACACATTATTTAACATTTTAAAACACGTACTAACAAAAATCGAGAAAATTAAAATTTAGAGTTGAAGAAAAAAAACATGGTCTAAGTAGAAATATCATGAGGTTGCCTGTAACCTTGATCCAAGCAGCATACAGATCGCTACTATTGGTAGTGATCCTACCCGGAACGACTTTAAAAAGCAGAATTCAAAAACACAGGCAACAGGAAAACAAAGGAATTAGGACGGTATAATACCATCTCATCCTAAATAATGTCAAATCATAGAACACAAGAATTGTCTAGTCATATAGTTTGGATGCTTCACATGAAAACGCTATAGGATTTGGAGAAAAGAGTGATACAAAGACTTCCAGGAGGTGTGAGTTCATGCTAATTTTTCTCTAAAATTCCTAAAAAACTAAAGGGCTCATTCCTTAAGGAGCCCTTAAGCACGAATGCACAGTAGTCTAAGGGCTCACGTGCAAAATGTTACTACTCCCTCCGTTTCATAATGTAAGATTTTCTACCATTATTCATACTGTCTAGATTAATTAACATCCATATGAATGTAGATAATGTTAGAAAGTCTTACATTATAAAACGGACGAAGTATTATATAATCGCTCGCACGCGCGACTTGATCCGAACCGTTGAAACGAGACCAGATGGCCACCGCTCGGTAAGGCGACCGTTCACCGCTCCGCGCCCATTCTCCAATAAATAATCACACCTCCACGCCTCCACGGCGGCGGCGGCGGGATGCAGAGAAGGTATCTGACAATAGATCAAAGCCCAGTGAATCAGTTTATAATCTCATTTCAAAAAACAAAAAAGGACATAAGTGATCGTCTGAGTTAACTAGTCATCCACCCATCCATCACATGCTTAGGATTTTATGCTCGTGATCCATCGTTTCGCTTATCTTACGTCTATTCGTAACGTTTATTAGCAAAGAAAAAAATAATTTAATGGTAAAATTTTTATATTCTTAGTGATACAAAAAAAATAAACCATGATAAATAAAACCACAAAATCAATTTTAAGATAAGAATAATTTTAAAATTTAAATTTTAGTTCATAAACATAGGCATAAGCATAAGAGCGAAAACCTACATTATATACTAGTGGAAAGCGGAAAACAACTGCAAGCGTGTGGAGCAAATAAACCAAAGCGCACGCTTGATAACAACAGAGTCAGCAAGTAAACGGTCAAGATTCAAGCCGAAGAAGGGAGCAGCAGTTTTGGTCCCTCCACTCACCAGTTGTTCATTGTTGTTGTACACACCATGACCGCGACGCCGATGCATGATGATTGCTGTAAATCATATACACTTCTTGGAATGACGCTTTAATTCCATGTAGTGCTATCTCTCCAACTTACAAATCTTCAGCAATTATTTTTGTTCTTTCGCAAATACAGTGCATTTTCCTGTTGAATAAAGGTGATGCAGCATCCTTCAGTTCAATCGTTGTGTCAAAATTTGGTCCGGAATAATAGCTAGCGAAGAGCCGAAGAGATCCATGGTGAAGCTGGTAAGAGAAGTCATGCCTGATCAAGTAAACTAAGGCATGTTGTAACAATGTCAACGTGATTAAGGTTAAAAATTAAGGATGGCTACGGAGAGAATTACTTACGGCCGCCAATGTCGAGAAGTTGACTTTCCAATAGTATAACTGGCAGCCGCTACTGGAACGCCATAGTGCGACGAACAAAACTGCACTGACAGTTTTTGTGAGGTCCTAAATCTTAATGAGTACCCATATACTATAGCATCAAATCATTGACCAGCATTTATTTGTGATGACAATGACAAGAAGGCTGAAATAAACTGGAACCTATAGACGTTTCTTTCTTCCTCCTGATGCTCCTTCTAGGTATGACCATCTGATGCATTCCCCAAGTCAGAGAAGGCCAAAATAAAATGGAACCAATAGACACTCTTTCTTACTCCTGATGCTCTTTCTTGATATAACCATCTGATGCTTTTCCCAGTGAAGATACTTAGATACAAACTCAGCATCAAGTTTCCATGCTAGATTCACAAGAAAACCATGCACCCACTTCATTCTCCGTGCAAGAAACACAGCAACAAATTTCCCATACCTGTTCTTGCCCTTGCCCTGGTGCTGCTCATCAACCTCGCCTCTCTCACCAGTTCATGTACAGAGCAGGACAGGAGCTCCCTCCTCAGGTTCCTCAGGGAGCTCTCTCAAGATGGCGGCCTCGCTGCGTCATGGCAGGATGGTACAGATTGCTGCAAATGGGATGGGATCACCTGCAGCCAAGATAGCACGGTCACTGATGTTTCCCTGGCCTCTAGGAGCCTCCAGGGACGCATCTCACCGTCTCTTGGTAATCTCCCTGGATTGCTGCGCCTCAACTTGTCTCACAACCTGCTGTCTGGTGCCCTGCCGAAGGAACTGTTGTCTTCCAGCAGTCTCATCACCATTGACGTCAGCTTTAACCGCCTGGATGGAGATCTTGACGAGTTGCCATCTTCAACACCTGCAAGGCCACTGCAGGTACTGAATATCTCAAGTAATTTGTTAGCAGGACAGTTTCCATCATCCACATGGGTAGTGATGAAAAATATGGTTGCACTCAATGTCAGTAACAACAGCTTTAGTGGGCATATACCAGCTAATTTCTGCACCAACTCGCCATACTTATCTGTGCTTGAACTCAGTTATAACCAATTAAGTGGGAGCATTCCCCCTGGATTTGGAAGTTGCTCCAGGCTCAGAGTCCTCAAGGCTGGCCACAACAACCTTAGTGGGACTATCCCTGATGAAATCTTCAATGCTACCTCGTTAGAGTGCCTCTCTTTTCCAAACAATGATTTTCAAGGGACACTTGAATGGGCAAATGTTGTCAAACTCAGTAAGCTGGCTACCCTTGACCTCGGAGAGAACAACTTCAGTGGTAACATTTCAGAGTCTATAGGTCAGCTCAACAGATTGGAGGAACTCCATCTGAACAACAACAAAATGTTTGGGAGCATACCATCAAACTTGAGTAACTGCACAAGTCTGAAAATCATCGACCTCAATAACAACAATTTCAGTGGAGAGCTCATCTATGTCAATTTCTCCAACTTACCCAATCTAAAAACTTTAGATCTTATGCGGAACAACTTCAGTGGTGAAATTCCAGAAAGCATATACACATGCAGCAACCTAACTGCTCTGCGGGTATCTTCCAATAAGCTGCACGGCCAGTTATCAAAGGGACTAGGCAATCTGAAATCCCTCTCCTTCCTGTCACTCGCAGGAAACTGTCTTACAAACATAGCAAATGCACTTCAGATATTAAGCAGCTCCAGCAACCTCACCACCCTTCTTATTGGCCACAACTTCATGAATGAAAGAATGCCTGATGGCAGTATTGATGGTTTTGAGAATCTTCAGGTTCTATCCCTAAGTGAATGCTCATTATCTGGAAAAATACCTCGATGGCTATCGAAACTCTCAAGGTTGGAGGTGCTAGAGTTAGACAACAATCGACTAACTGGACCAATACCAGACTGGATCAGTAGCCTAAACTTCCTCTTCTATCTAGATATATCAAATAACAGCCTGACAGGAGAAATTCCGATGTCCTTATTACAGATGCCAATGCTAAGGTCAGACAGGGCTGCAGCACAGTTGGACCGTAGAGCATTTCAATTACCCATATATATATCTGCATCACTACTTCAATACCGCAAGGCCAGTGCTTTTCCCAAAGTGCTCAATCTAGGCAAAAATGAATTCACCGGTTTGATCCCCCCAGAGATTGGTCTGTTGAAAGTGCTCCTTTCACTGAATTTGAGCTTTAACAAATTATATGGAGATATCCCCCAGTCGATCTGCAACCTCACAGATCTGCTTGTGCTGGATTTGTCAAGCAACAATCTAACTGGTACAATCCCAGCTGCGCTGAACAATCTAAACTTCCTTTCCGAATTCAACATCTCATACAATGACCTAGAAGGGCCTATCCCAACTGGTGGTCAGCTTGATACATTCACAAATTCTAGCTTTTATGGCAATCCAAAGCTGTGTGGTCCTATGCTTGTACGCCATTGCAGTTCAGCTGATGGACATTTGATCTCAAAGAAACAACAAAACAAGAAGGTCATACTTGCAATTGTTTTTGGTGTCTTCTTTGGAGCCATTGTCATTCTTATGTTGTCAGGGTATCTCCTTTGGTCGATCAGTGGTATGAGTTTCAGGACCAAAAATAGGTGCAGCAATGATTACACGGAAGCATTATCATCCAACATCAGTTCAGAGCATTTGTTAGTAATGTTGCAGCAAGGCAAGGAAGCAGAAGACAAGATCACATTCACTGGCATTATGGAAGCTACAAATAATTTTAACAGGGAGCACATCATTGGATGCGGAGGTTATGGATTAGTCTACAGGGCAGAGCTACCTGATGGCTCAAAACTTGCCATAAAGAAGCTCAATGGTGAAATGTGCCTGATGGAAAGGGAGTTCAGTGCAGAGGTTGAAACGCTCTCCATGGCACAACATGACAATCTTGTGCCACTCTTGGGTTACTGTATCCAGGGAAACTCGAGGCTCCTCATATATTCTTACATGGAGAATGGCAGTCTGGATGATTGGCTTCATAACAAGGACGATGGTACCAGCACAATTCTAGATTGGCCAAGACGGCTCAAAATAGCGAAAGGAGCAAGCCACGGCCTTTCTTACATCCACAATATCTGCAAGCCTCGTATTGTCCACCGTGACATCAAATCTAGCAACATCCTTCTCGACAAAGAATTCAAAGCTTATATTGCAGATTTTGGATTATCACGGTTGATCCTTCCCAACAAAACTCATGTCACAACCGAGCTAGTCGGCACTCTCGGTTACATCCCCCCTGAGTATGGGCAAGCATGGGTTGCTACATTGAAAGGTGACGTGTACAGTTTCGGAGTGGTCCTGCTTGAGCTTCTCACTGGGAGGAGGCCAGTTCCAATACTATCTACTTCAAAGGAACTTGTCCCATGGGTACAGGAGATGATATCAGAGGGAAAGCAGATTGAGGTGCTGGATTCAACACTTCAAGGCACAGGGTGTGAAGAGCAAATGCTAAAGGTCCTTGAAACTGCTTGCAAGTGCGTTGATGGTAATCCTTTGATGAGGCCAACTATGATGGAAGTAGTAGCCAGTCTGGACAGTATAGACCCTGACCTAAAGATGCAATAATATGATAGATAATCTTGTACTTTAAGTGAACAGAGTTGATCTGGTTTCACTAGAACTAGAATTTGATTGATCTTATAGTTCGTTCTGTACAGCGTGTGACAGGCTAGTGTGATTTTGAGGCATTTCCCTTTTTTACTGTACTTGTTTTTACATTAGAAAGTGGGTATGTAATGCGTCTTCCTTTCCCTGTTTATTAAACATTGTTCATTCTCAGGTTGCACAGGCATGAAAAAAGGTCGAAACAAGTGAGGAAATTGTTATGTTCCTTGAGTTTTTCAATGCAAAAATCAAAATGGTTCCCATTCAAGTGAAGATACTAGGTATTGTCAGACGTATAGATACGATTACAGATTTGCAGTTGGCTGTGAAATGCGTGGATAAAAGACCAGCACAAATGCTAGGCACTAGTATGGAGTGGGAAGAGAATGCAGAACGACTAACCATCTCGAAGGAGGTTGACTCGCGCGCGTGAAGAGAGCGTGGCATTGCGGAACGCACACACGCGGCGTCATCCTCCGGCGCCTATGGCCACGCTCGCTGCCGCCCGGTACAAGTTACTCGAGCATTTCGCCGAACACCCTGAGTGCGCCACCTCACAGGGAAGGGAAGCGCCTCCACTCTGACCAGGCCAGCCCTGGCATTGTCGTAGAACAGTTCAAGGGCATCGCGGGCGCGCGGCAGCGGTCCGGGAGGAGCAATCCCGCAGCCGCCGCCGTCGCCGGCGGCGGCCGCGGTGACCTCCCCCGCCGGCCGCCGCTAGTCTGTGAGAAGAACGAAAAGATTGTCTCGTGTTGGGCCCAAATGGAAACGACCACCTCGACTACTGGAGGAGGCCCATGTATTCCGGCCCAACTCAGTAAGGGCATAAAAAGGGACAGAAGTAGTAATGGAGAGAACTTCGAGGGCTTCCACGTAAATTTTCCCATGAATCTCCCGCGACCGTTTGATCCAAACCGTACACGGACGATCGGACGGTTAAAATAGTGGGGCTTAGGGTGCGTCGTGCGTGACAATTGATTGCTCTGTATTAATCTACTTCCTCTATTTTGGGTTTTGTCCCAAGTAAAAAATTTTAAATTTTTTGCGAACGCGCAAAAAGACTGCACGTCAATATATTAGAAGAAAAGAGTTATAGTTACACGACGCAATCAGCCAGACCGGCTTATGTAGAGGGAAGGGGAAAAAAGCAAAAAAGAAGTTGGAGCTTAAAACTACGGCGGCTAAATACAAACTCCAAGCAGCAGGAAGGGGTCGAGCCACTCTACACTCCCAACAAGTCCCCAAAAGCGGCAACGCTAGCTAAAGACCACAGATAGCCCTCTGGGTGGATGGACTCCAGAACCACTGAGACCGAAGAGAGCGCAGAGTTGAAAACCCTAGAGTTTCGTTCCTTCCATAGCTGCCAAGAGACCAGGAGCACCAGGGAGTCGAAGCAGCGCCGGAGATGCTCAGGTAAGCAGGCCCTGGAGGACGACCACCAGTCCTGGAACCAGCTGCCACAGGGGGGGAGAGAGGGCAGCCCAGCCAGGAGGCGACAGCACATGGAGCCAGACCTGCCGAGCAAACACACAGTCGAGGAGGATGTGGTTCGCCGTCTCAAGATCCTGAGCGCAAAAAGGGCAGGCTGAGTGACTATCAATGCCACACTTCTGGAGGAGATCAGCCGTCCAGCAGCGCTGCTGGAAAGCAAACCAAAAGAAGAACCTGCATTTAGCAACCCTTTGCGTGCTAGAGAAGATCACCACAGGCAAAGGAATGTTGGCCATGGAAGAAAGCCTGGTATGCCAAATGCGCTGAGTAGCGCTGGTTAGATGTCCAACGCCAAACGAGACGATCCTCGACACCTGGAAAAAAATTAAATTTAATTAAGTTTATGAAAAAAATATAGTAATATCTAGAATGCCAAATTAATTTTATTAACCTTGAATACATTTTTATGATATACCCTTTTGTTTCATATTGTAAATTGTTTTACTTTTTTCTAAGTCAAATTTTTTTATGTTTCATCAAATTTATAGAAAAATATAACAACATCTATAATGTTAAAATAGTTTCATTAAATATAACATTGGATATATTTTGATAATAGATTAATTTTGTATTGGAAATGCTGCAATATTTTTTTATAATATTGGTCAAACTTTGACAAGGAAATGGTCACAACGACTTATAATATGAAATGGAGGTAGTAATTGTTTGGCTTTATTCTTTTATAAACTGAGTTAAATTTAAATAAGTTTAATTTAAAACAAAATCAAAACATCCTACGTTCTTACTGAAACTGTGGGAGTAACCGTTGAGTCAATTAACCCATCCATTGCATAAATTTAACTGTGGTGTTTGTCATTTCAGCGGAGATGAGGCAAGGCCAGCTTCTTCAAATTGCCCAATCTAAAAATTTTGGATGTTTACATGAACTATTTCAGACTTTCAGTGGCATAGTCCCATAATGCATATCTACTCATGTATAGCAATTTTCGTTAAAAAGAACTCATGTACAGCAATTTGACTCTACTGCAGCAATTTGTCCAACCATTTCCGTGGCCACATGTTATCATGACTTGGCAACCTGAAATTCTGAACATTTTTGTTGAAACGCAGCAATCTGAACTTCTAGAGTTATCTCTCTGACCAACAAACAATTCATGTACATATAGGACAAGAGCTCTCCAGACGCAGGATGGAATCGTTAATAAATGATTGGTCAAAAACTAGCTGTACCCCCTTTCTTGCGTGGAAAAAAGACTAGCTATAGCTTTGGCGTCTCTAAATGACACGATTATAATCAACTTACACAATCCATAATGCCCCATCGGTTGACCAAGAACTACCTAAATACCAAACGATTTATTAGCGACTAACAAGTAATGTGAATAAAACATTTTATATATGTATCCTTACTGACTTAAAAGTTAATGTTGAAAAAAAAAACTACATTAAAAATAGCCTAAGATTTATCTAATATTTAAATTTTAGCAACGGCCGATTTGTTCTGGGATAAAAAAAGAACAGACAGAGACAGCGAATCAATTAGCCAATGCTAATAATTTATAAGTGGAGCAGAGGCCACAGAGAACCAAGTGAGTGGGAGTGGGAATGACCAACACTGACAACAGTAGCACAAACAATTACCACTTCATACTGCAGTATCTGAAAAGATGTCATTGTAAAGTTGGTGAACAGAACACATGTCATACTATATAATATCATCTCATATCATCATGTAAACCAAAACAATTGTTTAATACCAATTGAACAATCACATAATCGAGGGAGGATGCAAATTGCAAAAGCAGACAACAATTTTTTGTACAAAAAGGTTGGGCACTTGGACATTTTTAATAAAATTTTGTGGCAGGCAGCTCCAACTGAAACGTGCTGGTATATGGTGTGAACCAGGAAGCTGCACCTGCAGTGGCTTACTGGCAATTGTGCACATCATCAACAGTGTGGATGTGTGGCCACTACACCTTATTCTTGACCCAATCCTCCTTTCTATATTGTGAATACGACTGCAACATAAGCAGCTTGCTTTGTTTTCTTCTTCCTCCTCTTCCTCAAAGCATCATCAGGTCCATTTCATTTGCACATCCAATCAGAATCAGGCGTAGGCACCATTTGCTTGGAGGCCATGCAGAAGCAGCAGCAACTCCATTCCTCATGCAAGAAGTGCAGCAATAGATGTTTCATAGATTTCCTTAGGTTCAATCTTGCCTTTGCGCTGCTGCTATTGCTCTCTCTGGCCTCTCCCACCAGCTCATGCACAGAGCAGGAGAGGAGCTCCCTCCTCCAGTTCCTCTCTGGCCTCTCCAACGATGGCGGTCTCGCGGTGTCATGGCGGAATGCCGCAGACTGCTGCAAATGGGAAGGGGTCACCTGCAGTGCAGATGGGACGGTCACCGATGTCTCGCTGGCTTCCAAGGGCCTTGAGGGGCGTATCTCGCCGTCCCTTGGCAACCTCACCGGCCTGCTGCGCCTCAACCTGTCCCACAACTCGCTGTCCGGTGGCTTGCCGCTGGAGTTGATGGCGTCCAGCAGCATCACCGTCCTTGACATCAGCTTCAACCACCTCAAGGGAGAGATACATGAGCTGCCGTCTTCCACCCCGGTCCGGCCTCTCCAGGTACTGAACATCTCGAGCAACTCGTTTACAGGACAGTTTCCATCTGCCACATGGGAGATGATGAAGAATCTGGTTATGCTGAATGCCAGCAACAACAGCTTCACGGGACACATACCGAGTAATTTCTGCAGCAGCTCAGCATCCCTTACAGCGCTTGCACTCTGTTATAATCATCTTAGTGGCAGCATCCCCCCTGGTTTTGGTAACTGCTTGAAGCTCAGAGTGCTCAAAGTTGGTCACAATAACCTCAGCGGGAATCTCCCGGGTGATCTCTTCAACGCTACCTCATTGGAGTACCTCTCTTTCCCAAATAATGAGTTGAATGGAGTAATTAATGGTACACTCATAGTGAACCTCAGAAATCTGTCAACTCTTGATCTTGAGGGGAATAACATTACCGGATGGATTCCAGACTCTATAGGCCAGCTCAAAAGGCTGCAAGATCTCCATTTGGGTGATAATAACATATCTGGGGAGCTTCCATCAGCCCTGAGCAACTGCACACATCTCATAACGATTAACCTCAAGAGAAACAACTTCAGCGGCAATCTTAGCAATGTGAACTTCTCCAACCTGTCCAATCTAAAAACTTTAGATCTCATGGGCAACAAATTTGAAGGTACAGTTCCAGAAAGCATTTACTCTTGCACCAATCTGGTCGCACTTCGGTTATCTAGTAACAATTTACAAGGTCAGCTTTCGCCAAAAATAAGTAATTTGAAGTCCCTTACTTTCTTATCGGTTGGTTGCAACAACTTGACAAATATCACAAACATGCTATGGATCCTCAAGGATTCTAGGAACCTCACCACCCTTCTTATCGGGACCAACTTCTATGGCGAAGCCATGCCAGAAGATAACTCAATTGATGGTTTTCAGAACCTTAAGGTTCTTTCCATAGCTAATTGCTCATTGTCTGGAAATATACCTTTATGGCTGTCGAAGCTAGAAAAGTTGGAGATGTTATTTTTGCTAGATAATCGACTCAGTGGATCTATACCTCCTTGGATCAAAAGACTAGAGTCACTGTTCCATCTAGACCTATCAAATAACAGCCTTATAGGGGGGATTCCAGCTTCTTTAATGGAGATGCCAATGCTAATAACAAAGAAGAATACCACCCGTTTGGATCCAAGGGTATTTGAGCTACCTATATATAGATCTGCAGCGGGCTTTCAATACCGGATAACCAGTGCTTTCCCAAAAGTGCTGAATCTAAGCAATAATAACTTCAGTGGTGTGATCCCTCAAGACATCGGTCAGTTGAAATCACTCGACATCCTCAGTTTAAGTTCGAATAATTTATCAGGAGAAATTCCACAGCAGCTCGGCAACCTGACAAATTTGCAGGTGCTAGACTTGTCTAGCAACCATCTCACAGGTGCAATCCCATCAGCATTGAACAACCTGCACTTCCTTTCTACATTTAATGTTTCTTGTAATGATCTTGAAGGGCCTATTCCAAATGGAGCCCAGTTTAGTACATTCACAAATTCTAGCTTTTACAAGAACCCAAAGTTATGTGGCCATATTCTTCATCGCAGTTGTCGTTCAGAACAAGCAGCATCCATTTCCACAAAAAGTCACAACAAGAAAGCCATTTTTGCAACTGCATTCGGTGTCTTCTTTGGAGGAATTGCTGTTCTTCTATTTCTGGCATATCTTCTTGCCACTGTAAAGGGTACAGATTGTATAACCAACAACAGGAGTAGCGAGAATGCAGATGTAGACGCAACTTCGCACAAGTCTGATTCAGAGCAATCATTAGTTATAGTATCACAAAACAAGGGAGGTAAAAACAAGCTCACCTTTGCTGACATTGTGAAGGCTACAAATAACTTCGACAAGGAGAATATCATTGGGTGTGGAGGCTACGGGCTAGTATACAAGGCCGATTTACCTGATGGCACCAAGCTGGCCATCAAGAAGCTTTTTGGTGAGATGTGCCTGATGGAAAGAGAATTCACTGCAGAGGTTGAAGCACTTTCTATGGCACAGCATGACAATCTTGTACCACTGTGGGGTTACTGCATACAGGGAAATTCAAGGCTCCTTATATATTCTTATATGGAGAATGGGAGCCTAGACGACTGGCTTCACAACAGGGACGATGATGCGAGTACATTTCTTGACTGGCCGAAGCGGCTCAAAATTGCCCAAGGAGCAGGCCGGGGACTTTCTTATATCCATGATGCCTGCAAGCCACATATCATCCACCGTGATATCAAGTCCAGCAATATCCTACTTGACAAAGAATTTAAAGCTTATGTTGCTGATTTCGGGCTAGCAAGATTAATCCTTGCCAACAAAACACATGTCACTACGGAGCTAGTTGGTACTCTGGGCTACATCCCACCTGAATATGGACAAGGATGGGTTGCTACTTTGAAAGGCGATATTTACAGCTTTGGAGTTGTCCTGCTTGAGCTGCTCACAGGAAGACGACCTGTCCATATCTTGTCTTCATCCAAAGAACTTGTCAAGTGGGTACAGGAGATGAAATCAGAAGGGAATCAGATTGAGGTCCTGGATCCAATACTGCGAGGGACAGGATATGACGAGCAAATGCTGAAGGTGCTAGAAACTGCTTGCAAGTGTGTCAACTGTAATCCCTGCATGAGGCCGACTATAAAGGAAGTAGTCTCCTGCTTGGACAGTATAGACGCCAAACTGCAGATGCAAAATTCAGTCAAAACTTAAGATAGGATGCAGTTATACAGGATTATCTTGTATACCAGTGCACATAGTACATGTAATTTGCAAGAATGACTACTCCAGTCTAATCCTTTGTACAGCTTTTTGACAGATTCATTTCTCCCTTTATCAGGGTAAAATGTATACCATGATGAAAAAAAAAGTCCTAAGAGGTTATGAACACACATCATCCATCCTCAGAATGTTCTTTGCGTATCTCGAATAAATTTGAATTCGAGGTGGGTTAGTTTTCAGGATCCCATTTATTATTCAAAAAATAACTCCTCAAATATGAATCAAATTGCAGAATAACATGTTCGTAAATTGCACGGGCCAGGGGCACAAATGCCCTCTCCCAAAGGTACCACGCAAACTCGGCAATTTGACGGTGTAAAAAGTAGACGCTTCTTCCTTGATTGGGTGCAAAGAAAAAAAAAAAGGAAACTGTGGCAATAGAGGATTAGAAGGATGCATCACAATTTTCACCAGAATGCCAGGGTATAAATACCGAAACAAGAATGCGCATAAACAAAGGCTAACAGGGGTATGAATCGAGACACCAAAATTCATCATCACTTTTTAGGGCATAATGTTAGGGCAGGAACCATTTCACCCACTCCCGTTTGCAACGACAACCTCTAATAGTCTAATCGTTCAACGTTTTGCGACGAATATCAATCGGAGGAGCATGTTTGCAACAAGCATCGCCCCCCACCCACCACGAACCCTAAAGAAACACCCTAGACCCCCACACCCGCAGCGCATTAAAGCAAGCGAAATCCTCACATGACGAACGAACAGAGAGGCGAACGCGCGGAGAGTGAGTAAACTGACCTTACCCTCGGTTGTCCGGCGATGTCCGTACTGCTGCTCGGAAGAGGGACCATGACGCCGCCGCCGCTCGCCGGTCGCCGTCTCCGGAGCTGAGGGAGATGACTCCAATTTTTGGGAGCAACACGTGTGCAATTCTGCACGGGTGAGCATCGAAGCAGATAACCAGTCCTGGGCCCATCGTCCAGTGAGCCAAAGATACTCCCAGAGATACTATGAGGGCATGAGGCCATTCACAGTGTCATGATATTTGGCGTTCCTCACATGCCAAGTAGATTATATATATATATATATATATATATATATATAAACGTCCTAAATTAGACCAAAGGAATTCTGTCTGCTAGAATGATAAAAAACGCTTCGGAATTCATCTCATCCTTTATAATATAATGGTACTTTTTCTTTGTTCAGCAATAACTTAATCTTGGAATAAAACACTCGTTATAACAATTAATAAACGAAAAGAGTTGGGTATTAGTTCATGAAGAATTTTGTATGAATATGGATAAACTACGGAAAGAATAAATAAAGATCTTTTTTTTATTGCATTCCATATTTTTTTTGTCCTATTCTTCTTTGCCCGAGGGGTATGTAAAAAGAAAAAAGGAATAAAGGGTTAATTCGTTCTTGATAGCCATTTTCTTAACAAGTGAATGGGAACATACTCTGGATCGGAATCCGAAGAAAGTACTACTTGCTCATTTCCACCAATTTCAAGTCCTTATTATGATTCCTTTTATAAGGAAAAATATTTAATGCTTTAGATTCCCTATATATATATATTATGATACTCTGGATCACGCCGTCGCTTCCGACTCGCCGTGGACACCAAATCAACGATGTATCCTGCCCTCGTCGCATCGCTGCCAACCCCTCCGAATATCGAGCTCTCCACTGATAACTGATTTATCGAGATCACCCAATGAGCTGGTATTTATCGATCCGGTTTTCCGATTACCACGGGTTAATTGAGATTACGGATTTTTTTTCTCGTTAAAAATGAAAACGGATCCGTTCGGTGCATCCGGGCTTTATCGGGGCTTGCTACGATGGACGGTAGATGGGAGCAGGTGTACGTACTCCTATGTGTATAGAATCATTTTCATATATATATATATACACACACACTGAGCTACATGCTTCACAGTGCAAGTTACTTGTAGTAGGTCCCACTCATATCACCGTACTTTGAATGACTTGAGTGGATAAAAATTATACTAGGGTCTGTTCTAACTTCTAAAACGCATTAGCAAGTTTTTTTAAAAATTGTTAAAAGATATGTTTTGTTAAAAATAAAATTTATATATATAATTTACTTAAATTATTAAATAAAACTTTTTTTATTTTTTAACAGTTAATATTCAACTAATTATGGGCCACTTTGGATGATGCCAAAATGTGCGATGCCAATATTTTGTTAGTTTGAATAGTAAATATGATGGTTTGGTTTGAAGCCGAATAGATAGTAATGCACATGCTTAATTTGGTATAGTTATAAAACTTTCTTCACCATAACATAAAATTTGACTCTTAATTGGTATCAATCCAAACACATTACTAAGAATTTTACCCTACCAAGAGGTTGATCGGTATTGTTGGCTGTAGCAGTGCAACTGCAGCCAACCAACCTAACGCGCGCTAATTTTCTGTAGTTGCAACAGGAGGCTTGGTTTGCTGACTGCAGCTATCAGAGCCCAAAGTATTGATTACTAATGTTTTGGTATGGCACTAAGCCCTATATGCTAATTATGTTTTCTATTTTACGATCGACTAATCAACTGTAACAATAAAGTTGGCCAGGAATTGTGAGCCCATTAGCCTTTTCCTTTAATTTTTATTGTCTCGTTTTCTTTTCGATTTTGCTATCATGCTGTCCAGACATTTATTTTTTTAAAAAATGAATTAAAACTCGGATCTACATTCAAAACGGATGCACACAGCCATATTGGCACATTTTCTTAGAGAAAAGAGAGAACTTAACACATAGTGATGGGACTGTGTATCTAAACCGATCTGTGAAAGTGACGGACCAAAAGCTGATATAATATCTTCCATACAAGCATTTTTCTTGTTTGGTCATTACCTGACATGCTGGAATATGCTTATAGTTCTTTACATTCTCCTTTACCATAATGAAATTTGGTCTGCCTCGTTCGGCCGACCCGGCAAAAGAACATACTGATAGTTACAGACAAAATTTACACTCCCTCCGTTTCATAATGTAATACTTTCTAGTATTACCCACATTCATATAAATATATGTGTTTAGATTCATTAACATCTATACGAATGTGGTTAATGTTAGAAACCCTTACATTATAAAACGGAGGAAGTACTAGATAAAAATGAAAAGAGTACGGTCAATTCTTGCTGCCGCCTTCATTTTCCTGAAACTTATTTTTAACTCCTTGTAACTTTGATTTTTAATGATAGCCACTTGTGCCCTTCTGCATTTGTATTTGACAGACATTATCATAGCCATAGAAACAGCATATTCTATCAACATCAGAAGTACTCCTTATCTGCCAAAGGAAAAGACAAATGCAAGCAATCTTTTTGCTGGTTACTGAAATACCAGCTAATGATCACATGAACACTGCCATTAACCTGACTAATCGATTCTCAGCCCCTCTAATGATGCTGCAGTCTGGTCCAGCATTGCTGCTAATCTAGACTTCAAGAGTCGCAGTCCAAAGGCCAAAACCATCGTAAACCAATTGCCATTTGCAACTTAGATGTTAACCAAAACCAAAGCTTTGATGCTGACAACGGCAAGAAAAGTAAACGCCTCAGGGTCAACGAGAGAGCCCTGGGAAATATTTCCTCCATTAATCCGTTCTTTCCATGCCCGTACACATGTGGATCTTGACATCGATGACTGCTTCAAAACATGTGCTCCTTTTCTTTTTCTGAATGATGTTGTTTGTCATGTACCTCACCAATCCGATCTTGCAAATCTGTGAGGTCCCTTCTTTTCGCCAAAAAAAAAAGGATGTGTTTTTCCTGCCCATCAAAAAAGGATAAATATTCTGTTCAGTTTTGTCATTGTTAAAACAGCGAAAAATTGACGTGATGAAGCTGGTAGAAGTCAGATCAAATAAATTAGGTCATGATAAAAACAGTTCAATAATAGCTGAATCAGTGGATGGCTGCTACAAGTACTATCGAATTATTGTGCGTGGAAGTCAGACTTACCAATAAACTGTAGTGGCGGGTGGGGAATAGTTAACTTAGAAAGCGATGCTGCAATTAGTCAATAAGATCTTAATCCTGACTCATAAATTTGGTGACTATGACTTGAATGATCAAACAAAGAAGAGATGGCAACTGTTTGTTCCCTTCCTATCATGTTCCTTCTTCATCAGACTATTGGCTCCGATGCTAGCCTATGGAGAAAACTATGCAGCCCCTCCATTTTTCCAACAAGAACCACAAAAACAGATTTCACATGACTTACCTTGGCCATGCTCTTGTGCTGCTGCTCTTCTTGGCCTCTCCCACCAGTTCTTGCACCGAGCAAGAGAGGAACTCACTCATCCAGTTTCTCACTGGGCTCTCGAAGGATGGTGGCCTGGGCATGTCATGGAAGAATGGCACGGACTGCTGCGCATGGGAAGGGATCACCTGCAACCCAAACAGGATGGTTACTGATGTGTTTCTGGCTTCTAGAGGCCTTGAAGGGGTCATCTCACCTTCCCTTGGCAATCTCACAGGTCTGATGCGCCTCAACTTGTCCCACAACTTGCTGTCCGGTGGCTTACCGCTGGAACTGGTGTCATCAAGCAGCATCGTGGTCCTTGATGTCAGTTTTAACTACATGACAGGAGGCATGAGTGACCTGCCATCTTCAACCCCTGACCGGCCTCTGCAGGTACTGAACATATCAAGCAACTTGTTTACAGGAATTTTTCCATCAACCACATGGCAGGTGATGAAGAGTCTTGTCGCGATCAATGCCAGCACCAACAGCTTTACTGGGAATATACCAACTTCGTTCTGTGTCAGTGCACCATCCTTTGCTTTGCTTGAACTTAGTAATAACCAATTCAGTGGAGGCATCCCTCCAGGGCTTGGTAATTGCTCCAAGTTGACATTCCTCAGCACTGGCAGAAACAATCTCAGTGGGACCCTTCCATATGAGCTCTTCAATATTACCTCTTTGAAGCACCTTTCTTTTCCTAACAATCAGTTAGAAGGATCAATTGAGGGCATCATGAAGCTCATAAATCTGGTCACCCTTGATCTCGGAGGAAATAAGCTCATTGGTAGCATTCCAGATTCCATAGGACAGCTGAAAAGACTGGAGAAGCTCCATCTGGACAACAACAACATGTCCGGGGAGCTGCCATGGACTTTGAGTGACTGCACAAACCTTGTAACCATCGACCTCAAGAGCAACAGCTTCAGCGGGAAGCTCACCAATGTCAACTTCTCCACACTGCCCAATCTGAAAACTTTAGATGTCGTTTGGAACAATTTTTCTGGAACAGTTCCAGAAAGCATCTACTCATGCAGAAATCTAACTGCATTACGGCTGTCTTACAATGGGTTCCATGGCCAGTTGTCAGAGAGAATAGGAAATCTGCAGTACCTCTCTTTTCTATCAATTGTTAATATCTCTCTTACAAATATCACAAGGACAATTCAGGTACTTCAGAGTTGCAGGAACCTCACCTCCTTACTCATTGGTCGCAACTTCAAGCAAGAAACAATGCCAGAGGGTGATATAATTGATGGTTTTGAGAATCTTCAGGTCCTTTCCCTGGCCAATTGTATGTTGTCTGGAAGAATACCTCATTGGTTATCAAAGCTCAAAAATTTGGCGGTGTTATTTTTATATAATAATCAATTTACTGGACAGATACCCGACTGGATCAGCAGTCTAAACTTCCTCTTCTATCTAGATTTATCGAGCAACAGCCTTTCCGGAGAAATTCCAAAAGCCTTAATGGAGATGCCAATGTTCAAAACAGATAATGTTGAACCAAGGGTCTTTGAGTTGCCTGTTTTTACAGCTCCATTACTTCAATACCGAAGAACCAGTGCTCTCCCAAAAGTGCTGAATCTAGGTATCAATAACTTCACTGGTGTCATCCCGAAGGAGATTGGTCAGTTAAAGGCACTTCTTTTACTCAATTTGAGCTCCAACAAATTCTCTGGAGGGATACCAGAATCAATCTGCAACATCACAAACCTGCAGGTGCTTGACATATCAAGCAATGACCTCACTGGTCCAATCCCTGCAGCATTGAACAAACTGAACTTCCTTTCAGCATTTAATGTATCTAACAATGACCTAGAAGGATCAGTTCCAACTGTAGGCCAACTTAGCACGTTTCCGAATTCTAGCTTTGATGGCAATCCAAAATTGTGTGGTCCTATGCTTGTACACCATTGTGGTTCAGATAAAACATCGTATGTCTCCAAAAAGCGACATAACAAGACAGCCATCTTAGCACTTGCATTTGGTGTATTTTTTGGAGGTATCACCATCCTGTTCTTGCTAGCTCGTCTTATTCTCTTCTTGAGGGGCAAGAATTTCGTGACTGAGAACAGGAGATGCAGAAACGATGGCACCGAAGAAACATTGTCCAACATCAAGTCGGAGCAAACCTTGGTGATGCTGTCACAAGGAAAGGGAGAGCAAACCAAGCTCACATTCACTGATCTGAAGGCTACAAAAAACTTTGACAAGGAGAACATCATCGGTTGTGGAGGATATGGGCTAGTCTACAAAGCTGAGTTATCTGATGGATCGATGGTTGCCATAAAGAAGCTCAACAGCGACATGTGTCTGATGGAGAGGGAATTCAGTGCAGAGGTTGACGCACTCTCTACAGCGCAGCATGACAATCTTGTGCCGCTGTGGGGTTACTGCATCCAGGGAAACTCAATGTTGCTCATATATTCCTACATGGAGAATGGCAGCCTGGATGATTGGCTTCATAACAGGAATGATGATGCCAGCTCGTTTCTTAACTGGCCAATGCGGCTCAAGATTGCACAAGGAGCAAGCCAGGGTATATCTTACATCCATGATGTCTGCAAGCCTCAAATAGTCCACCGTGACATCAAGTGCAGCAATGTTTTACTTGACAAAGAATTCAAAGCTCACATTGCAGATTTTGGGCTATCAAGGTTGATCCTTCCCAACAGAACCCATGTCACAACAGAGCTAGTCGGCACTTTCGGTTACATCCCCCCAGAGTATGGACAAGGGTGGGTGGCTACATTGAGAGGTGACATGTACAGCTTTGGAGTAGTCCTGCTCGAGCTGCTCACCGGAAGGCGGCCTGTTCCAATCTTGTCTTCATCAAAACAACTTGTCGAGTGGGTGCAGGAGATGATATCTGAAGGAAAGTATATTGAGGTCCTGGATCCAACACTCCGAGGCACAGGATATGAAAAACAGATGGTGAAGGTTCTTGAAGTTGCATGCCAGTGTGTAAATCATAATCCTGGAATGAGACCAACTATACAAGAGGTTGTCTCCTGCCTGGACATCATAGGCACCGAGCTGCAGACAACAAAACTCAATTAAAATAGAATTAGATAACACATGATGATCTACTTTAGAGTGCAGAGAGAAGCTGAGTGTTGCACTGTACTTTGCACAGTCTCTCATGAATTATCTTTTTTTACTATTTTGTAATTCAAACCCATTTTTTCCCTTCTTGTAACTATTCTGTAGTTAGAATTCGATAAACAACACGAAGATTCACAACATTATCGAGAGCCCATGATTCAAGAGGCAAATACCAGGAATTTAATAAGTGACAGCTCAACACATGATTACCATGTAGTAACAAAATATATGAATCAATTTGTTGTTTGTTTTCTTAGAGAGCACAAAACTAACATATTCTCAGAAAAAAAAAATCCTAGCGAATAAAAAAAAAGGAAGCAAATGGATAAACATTTTATTCTTGGTGATGGCCTAATGGGACTGTAATAACCACTTTGTGAAAAAAAAACCTACATTTTTCTTTTTGATCCTTACCTGACATATTTTCGAGAAAAAAAAGTTACCTGACATGCTGAAATATACTGATAGTTACAGACAAATATTCATTGGTATGGTCAATGCTTGCGGGCTCATTCATTTTCGTGAAACTCTTTTAGCTCCTTGCAATTTTGAGAGAGCCACTTTCTTGCCCAGCAAAAAGGGATTTTTTTTTCTATTCATCTTTGTTAGTCTTAAATGTTTATGCCAATAGCAAAAGTTAAACATAATGAAACTTGTATAATTGTCATATCGAGTAAATTAACGCACGCTACAAAAGTTCAATAATGGCCGAATCATGGATGTCTGTTATAAGTATTACCAAACCATTAGTGAATGGAAGTCAGACTTACCAGTAGACTATAGCAGCTTGCTGGTGTGAACAGTGAATTTGGAAAGTGATGTCACATCTAACCAATAGCAGCTTAGTCCTGACTCATAAATGTGGTGATTTTGACCTGAGAAGATAAAACAAAGAAGAGGCAGCAGCTGCTTGTTCCCTTCATATCATGATCATTCTTCTTCAAACTATTGGCTCTGATGCTAGGTTATGGAGAAAACCATGCAACCCCTCCAGTTCTCGAACAAGAACTACAGCAACAGATTCCCCATAACTTCCTTTGGTCTTGCTCTTGCGCTGCTGCTCTTCTTGGCCTCTCCCACCAGTTCTTGCACCGAGAAAGAGAGCAACTCCCTGATCCAGTTTCTCGCTTGGCTTTCAAAGGATGGTGGCCTGGGCATGTCATGGAAGAATGGCACGGACTGCTGTGTATGGGAAGGGATCACCTGCAACCCAAATAGGACAGTCAATGAGGTGTTTCTGGCTACTAGAGGGCTTGAGGGGATCATCTCACCTTCCCTTGGCAACCTGATAGGCTTGATGCGCCTCAACTTGTCCCACAACTCACTGTCTGGTGGCTTACCACTGGAATTGGTGTCATCCAGCAGCATCATGATCCTTGATGTCAGTTTTAACTACCTGACAGGAGACTTAAGCGATCTGCCATCTTCGACCCATGACCGGCCTCTGCAGGTACTAAACATATCAAGCAACTTGTTTACAGGAAATTTTCCATCAACAACATGGGAGGTGATGAAGAGTCTCGTAGCGCTCAACGCCAGCAATAACAGCTTTACTGGGAAGATACCAACTTCGTTCTGTGCCAGTGCACCATCATTTGCCTTGCTTGATATTAGTTATAACCAATTCAGTGGGGGCATCCCTCCAGGGCTCAGTAATTGTTCCACACTGACATTGCTCAGCTCTGGCAAAAACAATCTCACTGGGGCTATTCCATATGAGATCTTTGATATTACCTCTTTGAAGCACCTCTCTTTTCCTAACAATCAGTTAGAAGGATCAATTGACGGCATCACCAAGCTCATAAATTTGGTCACCCTTGATCTTGGAGGAAATAAGTTCATTGGCAGCATCCCACATTCCATAGGACAGCTCAAGAGACTGGAGGAGTTCCATCTGGACAACAACAACATGTCAGGGGAGCTGCCATCAACGTTGAGTGACTGCACAAACCTTGTAACCATTGACCTAAAAAAGAACAACTTCAGTGGGGAGCTCACCAAGGTTAACTTCTCCACACTACCCAATCTAAAAACTTTAGATGTCGTGTGGAATAAATTCAATGGGACGATCCCAGAAAGCATTTACTCATGTAGCAATCTAACTGCATTACGATTATCTTTCAACAACTTTCGTGGGCAGCTGTCAGAGAAAATAGGTAATCTGAAGTCCTTATCATTCCTGTCACTTGTTAAGAACTCTCTTGCAAATATAACCAGTACACTTCAGATGCTTCAGAGCTCCAAAAACCTCACAACCTTGATAATCGCGATCAACTTCATGCACGAAACCATACCTTTAGATGATAGCATTGATGGTTTTGAGAATCTTCAGGTTCTTTCCCTGTATGGTTGTTCATTGTCTGGGAAAATACCTCATTGGTTATCAAAGCTCACAAATTTGGAGATGTTATTTTTACATGACAACCAACTAACTGGACAAATACCTATCTGGATCAGCAGCCTAAACTTCCTCTTCTATCTAGACATAACGAACAACAGCCTTTCAGGAGAAATTCCAACAGCATTAATGGAGATGCCAATGCTAAAAACAGACAATGTTGCACCAAAAGTCTTTGAGCTGCCAATTTTTACAGCCCAATCACTTCAGTACCGAATAAACAGTGCTTTCCCCAAAGTGCTCAATCTAGGCATCAATAACTTCGCTGGCGCAATCCCTAAGGAGATTGGTCAGTTGAAGGCACTTCTTTTACTCAATTTGAGCTCCAATAAATTGTCTGGACAGATACCAGAATCAATCTGCAATCTCACAAATCTTCAGATGCTTGACTTGTCAAACAATAATCTCACTGGTACAATCCCTGAAGCACTGAACAAATTGCACTTCCTTTCAGCATTTAATGTTTCTAACAATGACCTAGAAGGACCAGTTCCAACTGTAGGTCAGCTTAGCACATTCCCAAGTTCTATCTTTGATGGCAATCCAAAATTATGTGGTCCTATGCTTGCAAACCATTGCAGTTCAGCTCAAACATCATACATCTCCAAAAAACGACACATCAAGAAAGCCATTCTTGCAGTTACATTTGGTGTGTTCTTTGGAGGAATTGCCATCCTTGTCTTGCTAGCTCATCTCCTTACCTTGTTGAGGAGCACAAGTTTCTTGAGCAAAAACAGGAGATACAGCAATGATGGGACAGAAGCACCATCGTCCAACCTCAATTCAGAACAACCCTTGGTGATGGTACCACAAGGAAAGGGGGAGCAAACCAAGCTCACATTCACTGATCTCCTGAAGGCTACAAAAAATTTTGACAAGGAGAACATCATCGGTTGTGGAGGTTACGGACTTGTCTACAAAGGTGAGCTATCTGATGGCTCAATGCTTGCCATCAAGAAGCTCAATAGTGACATGTGTCTGATGGAAAGGGAATTCAGTGCAGAGGTTGATGCACTCTCCATGGCACAGCATGATAATCTTGTGCCACTGTGGGGTTACTGCATCCAGGGAAACTCAAGGTTCCTCATATATTCCTACATGGAGAATGGTAGCCTGGACGATTGGCTTCACAACAGGGACAACGATGCCAGTTCATTTCTTGATTGGCCAATGCGACTCAAGATCGCACAAGGGGCAAGCCAGGGCCTTGCTTATATCCATGATGTTTGTAAGCCAAACATAGTCCACCGTGACATCAAGTCCAGCAACATTCTACTTGACAAAGAATTCAAAGCTTATGTTGCAGATTTTGGGTTATCAAGATTGATCCTTCCCAACAAAACCCATGTCACAACTGAACTAGTTGGCACTCTTGGTTACGTTCCCCCAGAGTATGGGCAAGGGTGGATGGCTACACTGAGAGGTGACATGTACAGTTTTGGGGTTGTCCTGCTTGAACTACTCACCGGGAGGCGACCCATTCCAGTCTTGTCTGCATCAAAAGAACTCATCGAGTGGGTCCAGGAGATGAGATCCAAAGGAAAGCAGATTGAGGTCCTGGATCCAACACTCCGAGGCACAGGACATGAAGAGCAGATGCTGAAGGTACTTGAAGTTGCATGCCAGTGTGTCAACCACAATCCTGGAATGAGACCAACTATACGAGAGGTAGTCTCCTGCCTAGACATCATAGGCACTGAGCTGCAAACAACAGAACTCAATTAAATCAGAATATGATAGCACATGATGATCATGCACTTAAACTTTTGAAGTGCACAGAGAAGCTCATAGTAGCAGAAGAATTAATATTTGTGTACTTCCTTTTTGCACAGTCCTCCATAGATTACCATTTTTTTACTGTTTTGTATCCAAACCTATTTTTTCGTTCAGCAAATTATTCTGTGATTAAATTTTGATTTTAAAAAAGGAGTAATTTTTGTAAAACCTCATCTATAATGGTCCAAGTTTCACAAAACCACAAGAACTTTGACACATGGCAGTCTAAACGTTTCATAAAACCACATTAATAATTATTTTGACTTTAATCTAGCACACACTTTTGAGTTCTACAATCATATCTCAAATTTATAAGCATTTTATCCAACATAAAAATGTTAGATTCGCTTTCTTTATTTTGATATAGGACTATGTCAAAATGTTAACGATGTGGTTTTGTAAAACTTTATAACCATAATATTTAGGGTTATGTGCCACTTACCAAAATACCTGTGATTTTGTGCAACTTAGATCATAATACGTGGGGTTTAATGAAATTTACTCAAAAAAAAAAAAGGCAGATTCACAACATTATCAGGAGACCATGATTAAAGAGGCAGAATGCCAGGAACATAATAAGTGACAGACCAATACATGATTACAATATAACCAAATATGTGAATCATATTACTGATCCGATTATTACGATGGAAGTGGCAAGGAAAACTAATAATACCACGTGAACTGATATGGGCACCAAAATTACCCCAAAAATATATAAGGAACCTGAGACTAGTAAAAATGTTTCTGAAAAAAGCAAAATCACAAGGATGTTCATGTCTCAATTTGGCATGAGCTCAACGCAATCCATCCCACTCCACGGGTCCCGAGCAACAGCCGATCTACTACTCCTACCCCTCCCGGCTCAGCAGATCACTGTGGTGTGAAGAGCAACGAGCAGAAGGAAAAAAAAAGCGCGGATGAATCAACTGACCCTGGGAGTGGAGAGCTGGATGCCGCCTCCCCCGCACAAACTTCTGGGGGAATCAAACGGCTCTGCCACCGCCGCCGCCGCTGCCGGCGGGCGGCGGCATTCGCCGGCGCTGGAGTGGAGTCGCCGGGGGATTCATCTCGCGGCGTGAAGGAGGAGAGGAGAGAGAGGAGATGGCCCAAGCCTCTTGGGCAGCCCGGCCCACTTATTGGCCCAATGTAATTTAACTATTTGCACTCTTGTGACATGGCAATTAACGATTCGCCACACCCTGTCAATGACATGCGAGCCCTCATGTGTCTATGACATGTGGGCCCTAGTGGCAAATCGTTAAGCAACATCCGTAAGAGTGGCAAATAGTTAAAAGCCCCGTCTAAAGGATTTTTTGAAATGTTTTTTTCTAAAAAAAGACAAGCTGGAAAAATAAGTGGGTTTGGCCCCACATGTAATTGAGGTGAGTTGCTTGAAAGGGATAACATAAATTTTGTTGATTTTGAAGGCTACCTTTGATAAAATATAACGTTTAATATTTCAAGATTTTAGTTTAATATTTTTGGTTTTTTTATCTTTGCAGAAGTTATAATGGAGTTCAGAAGGATAGGTTTTGAAAAAAAAAAAACAAGTTCTTAAATATCATTGTAACAATATAGCACTGCATACACAAACTAGCCCTAAGACGAGCAGTTTGAGCTATTACCTTACAAAAAGGGGGCAAAATCTCCAATGTATGATGATAATAAGGGTTATGGTTTTTGCTCCCAAAAAAAAAAAGTGATTATTGCCAACATTGTTTGTATTCAAAACGATTCCATTTCTTTTCCTTGTAAATTCCAAGCATTTCGAATAAAAAAGGCATAAACTTTATCTATCTGACAAAGGTTGCATCTCATAGAACGGTTACTTATTCCAGCAGTAACAGCCAGACAGTGACAAAGTAACTCACATTATTATAAAGAGGTAAAAGCACTATACATTATTTAGAGCACAACTTACAAATCAATTGACCAAGATCAAGAACTATACCCCCAAAAAAAGGTATGTCGAAAACAAAAATTACAAAAGGTTATCTTCATTATGGAAAGACAGTAACAGAACAAAATGAGATCCAGATGAACCTTCATCGCCAATTCAGCTGAGATAATCTGATCATACATATGAACTATCCTGTATCCTTACTGGAGCTCTTTGTATCACCCTCCAGCTTCTCATCTTTGTTGCATCATATACTCTTCCTCCAAAAATTTACATCATATACAACTAGCTACTCCATTGTCCAGTATGCAAGAAATGGTTCTAGGACCAAACATACTCGCTCATAGCATGTGTTTTCTGAACACAGCTCACGAAGTCCGTTTGGGTTCTGGCTTCTGGGAGCCACTGCTGTCAGGCAAGAACAGATAGCGGAATTTTGAGTCGAATGCAACAACAGTAAAACTGCGTGCTCCAAGAAGCCGCTGCTTCCGCTGTGAAGAAGAATCTCGGATGACTGCAACTTGATCAGGTGTAAGGTGATGGCAGATCCAGTCAGCGAGCAAAGAATCTTCGACATTCCCCTTGGCATAGCTCTGCAGTAACTTTGGGATTAGCAGTTTCCCTCGGTCGCTTATACCAACAGACGCTTGGACATAGTCTCTCAAAGATTCCTGAAGCTCCTGACGGACATTTGCTGCAGAGAAGATCCTCACCTGTATGACGGCAGATCATCACAAGATTGTTAAAAAAATAAAAAGAGGAAAAGGAAAATAACAGCTTGATATGTTAATAGTTACGACAGTGTGGATGTTCAAACGTCATTGAAAGAACATGTTACTATAGCATCTGAACAAGGATTTGAAGCAAGCAATATTGTTTGGTAGCGCAATGGTTGCTGCAGAAACATGCACTTGGCGATTGCAATATTTGCTGAACAAATAGTACAATACACACATATTTACATGAAAACAATGATAAAACTCATATACTTACGGCGGGTGAAGAGAACATTCCGCAGCTGAGTCCAAACAACACAAGGGGTTCTGTCCCATCAATCGAGTATTTCTTGTGCTCCTCAGTAATTTTGAACTTGTTAAGAGCTAGCATCAAGGACTATAGAAAGGTAGGGACACCAATGAGAGGCGTTATGATTTATAAGCAAATGGAAAATAAATAGGTTATAGAAAAAGCTATACAAGTTGGGGCCGATGCACTGGAGTCTTCATCTTTAGAATCACAAATTCTATTTCAGCAGCACTGAAAGACTGACCACCAACTGTGTAACAGGCCTGCATCGCTAGCACGTGTTAATTGAAATCCATATTGAAGAAAGTGTTATACATTTTTTGTTCAGAGAAGAGATCCTGCTCAAACCTTTTGCATTAGGGAAAAAAGCTTGATATCATTTCGTGGAACTCCATATGCTAGATATGCCTGATAGAAACCAGTACAGAAAATTTAGTATATAGTATTAGTCTAGTGAGAAAGAAATACGTAGTAAAAGCAAAATGAAATATGAGGAACAGAAATATGCATAAATCATCAGTGCAGGACTTGTTTGCAAAGCCAGTCTCTTTGGTAACATACTTACATGCATAATCAGTGCATTGTACAAATTAATCCAAAAGGCTAGCCGCTCATCACAGTTCATACTATTAGGGTTAACCTTTGATAGCTGTTCCACAAGAAATCTGTAAATACAAAGGCATGGTTATTTGTTACACTTACATTCAACATAAGTATTAGTAAGAATTAAAGATGGTCTTCAATGAGGAACACCGTAATTGACAGAAAATAGACCAAAAAACTTGGAAAGCGTCGCAAAGAAAACATTTATTATGAGATGTAGTGAGTATGTGTTAACATTTGTTTGCTCATCAGCAAGACATTGGGGTTGAAAGTTTTATCATACATCAAAGATAAGTCAAAGTGGCATGGAAAAGAGTGCTCGTTAACACATTCAAATATGGATAAATTACACACTGCCAGGGATTCCTTTCAGGGCTAAAAATGACAACAAGTTGTGGGGTTCCAAAATATAAAATATAATACGGTTTGTGTTTCCTGAAAATAAAAGATTACAAGAAGCATCTCATTCTTCCCTCGGTACAAACCTCATAACAGTTCAATTGTTTGTAAATTCACTTAGGCATCAACAGTAAAATGAGATTAGAAATGTGCATAGTATGCTGATAGTATCATACATATGAACGAGTGTTTCAAAAAAAAACATGCTTCATATGAACCTCATAACATGCAGTATGTTTGACATTAGGACAGGCAGTTTTAGCCTAGGTTGCAGCATCAAACCTGAATTTTTTTAGAGCTTCAGATGCATATTCAAGTTGCTCCTTTCCAACAGACATCCAAGATACTTCAGCTGCTGAATGATAATTTCCAATATCTCTTCGGCTTTCCTTCCCATTAACTTTATATGGATCAAAGTTGCTGGCTTCAGTTGTCATCTCATCATTGCGATTCGAGTCAACTGAAGGACTTCGTAGCATTGAGGGAATGATGGATGAATCTGAGAAGGATGCCAGTGTAGAACCAGAAAGACGTTCTGCTGAGGAAGATGAACAATCAGAAGATTCCTTTGGTAACATCTTCGAGGATTCAGATAGACGGAGGAAAATGTTTCTCATGCAACGAACCATCTCCTCTGAGAGCTGGTTAGGATTGTTCCAAAGATTCCCTAATTTCATGCTAGTTATCTTTAGTATGGATTGTTCAAATGATAGAGTATCAATCTTCTCATCTTCTTCGCCTTCTTTATCAGTAGAGCAAGATTCTTGCATCTGCAGAGAGATAAATCAAACCTTGCACGAATATGTCTAGCACAATTAACTATCTTCCAAAACTATACAAATAGGCATGAGAAGGACCTCTTCATCCCGGTGTTTTTCCAGAAGTCTATTTAAAGAAACATCCCGGTGTTTTTCAAATAGTCTATTTAGAGAAACCATTTGTCTCTCCTCAGGATCTTCTCCAACATCTTGTTCATATTCAAGTTCAGAGTATAAATCTTGTTGTGTTGACCTCATTGACTCAGATCCTCCAAACTTTAAATCTCTCAATGATGATATGTGCTAAGAAAGATAACAAGAAGGTATCAATAACTCCAACATCAGAAAGAAGACAGATATATTTACTTAAAAAAAAAAAAAAACTTACTTCTTCCCATGTGCACGTGCAAGTTGACAATGAGTGATCTGGGGATGTAGATGGCAAGCACCCTGGTTTACTTTCGGCAAGTAACCTTTCATTCCTTTCATGACAAAGCTGGTAATATAGTTCATTTAAGTCCTTTTCAAGCTTCGATACGGCACTTTCCAAGGAGGCAATGTTAGTTAGTAATTCTTGTGCCTGGAGAATGAAAAGGTCAAAACAAAAATTACTGAATTGGCTCAGAAATGGCATTCCATAAAGACAAGAAAACTAGCTAGTAGCTCTTCACCTTGTATGGAATCTTCACAGAGGAGTTCAGTACAGGTCCAGCATTTTGCATAACAGCGTCTGCCAGCGCAACATGCAAATCAATCTCTTCTTCGAGCTGCCTCTGTAATTTCTTGACCTGCACAATTTTCGATAGTATAAAGAACATCACATTTACACACTAACATCATCTGCCTGTAGTCTGTAGAAGAAGGCCACAAAATAAAGAGAATCAGCAAGTTCTTACTTCCTGCTCGAGCTGCGACCTGTACTTCCTCATCCTGCTCCTCTGGCTCCCTTCTCTCTTCCCACCACCACCGATCTTATCATCCTACAAAAACAACAATGAAAACGACGATTGCTGTGACATTACTTCGATTGGCAGAAATAAACCCAGGAAGCAATAAACAACAAGATTGTTGGTTGACCACACAGTCTGCGGCGATTAATGGAAAGTGGAGACAAATGGGGTAGGGGACAGTTCATCCTTGGTTTGGGGGGGACCCAATGAAAAACAATTTTTGCAGGCACGGCCAGCCGAAGCCGACAGCGCCCTGCGCACCACGGCATTTCGCAAAAGGACACCGCTTTTGCGGGGGCATTTGCCGTTGAAATCTCGCTTTTCTGTGCCAGTAATCCGAGTGTTCCCAAACCGTGGTGTCCCCGAATCCGAACAAAGAATGTGAATTTCTGGGATGTCTGGATGCTGGGCAGGGGCTGTGGAGATAGAAACGAGTCAACCAGAAGCCCACAGGAACCGAACCTTGCTGCAGCTCGCCGGCGGCGGCGCGTGGCCGTCGTCCTCCGCCGACAGATGCGCCGACCGATGCAACGCCCGCCCCGACCCGCCCGATCTCCGGCCGCCGCCCACCTTCTGGATCAGACCGCCTCTGAAACCATCACTCCCAGCATTCAGCAAGATTCAGAGGGAGCAACAAGATGGAAACCAAATCAACACGAGAACAAAACAAAAAAAAAAGGAAAGAAAGAAAGATTCAAGAACAATCACACTCACGCTGCTGCGGCGGCGGCGGCGGAGGATGGCATCTCGAGGGCGGCGATGGCGGCGGAGGGCAGCGCGTCCTCGGCGCGCGCGCACGGCATGGGGAGCGCGCGCTCTTCTCCTTCTTCTCCAGCAGCAAGAAGCCAAGAAGGCAAGAATGCAAAAGATTCAGCTCACTGCAGCCTCGGCGAACGGAACGGGACCGATTAAATGCTCATTGGGAGACGAGGATTCGCGCTACGAATTCGAGGTGGGTCGATGGGCGCCACCATTGTAGGGGCGTTGAATTGGAAGGGTGGAATGGAAACGACAAGGGCGTGTGGGTGCGCGAGGGCTTTTATGTTTATGGAGGGAGGGAGGGCGTGCGAGGAGGTTGGAGGTGGAGGAGTGGAGGAGGACGACGAGCGTTGAAGTGAGGTGACGACTGTGGGTGGAGCGGTGACGACGGCGGCCGTTCCACAGGGGTAGCAATAGCAGTAGCAAATATGATGTTCCTACCCTACGTAACTGTACACCTACTTTCATCATTAGGCCGGTGTTTGGATCAGGACTTAACTTTGTTATCTATTTTTAGACACTAATTTAGAGTGTTAAATAGTATAAACTACTTACAAAACTAATTACATAAATAAAAGCTAATTTACGAGACAAATTTTTCAAGCCTAATTAATCCATAATTAGAGAATATTTACTGTAGCATCATATAGGCTAATTATGGATTAATTAGGCTAAATAGATTCGTCTCGTGAATTATTCCAAGATTATGGATGGGTTTATTAATAGTCTACATTTAATATTTATAATTAGCGTCCAAACATCTGATGTGATAGGGACTTAAAAGTTTTAGTCCCATGTAAATAGGGTCTTAGTTCCAAACTTTTTTTTCAAACTTCCAACTTTTCCATCACATCAAAACTTCCTACACACATAAACTTCTAACTTTTCCTTCACATCATTGCAATTTCAACCAAATTTTTAATTTTGTCGTGAAATAAACACACCCTTAGTTTCTATTTTTGTTGTAATAAACAGTTTTATTTTTTATATTATAACTCATTTTGATTTTTTTTCTCCAAAAACAAGTTTAAGTCTTCAGGTTTAGTCAAACTTATAAGAAAATAATGAAATTTTTCAACGCAAAACAAACTTATTATCAAAATATATTCAATATTACGTTCAATGAAATTAATTTGATGTTGTAGATATTGGGTAGTTTTTTCTATAAACTTAGTTGAATCTAAAGAAGTTCGAATAGTAAAAAAAATCAAAGCGACTTATAATACGAAATGGACAGAGCAGATTTTAAAAAGAGAAATTTATATATTTGAAAAATATATAGGTTGTATTAGTGTATTTGAAAATAAAAATGAAATTGATATACTCTCTCCATAAAAAAAAAAGCTTCGTTCATGTAATCAAAAGCATAATTATAAGCTGAAGTCAGTGAGCGCTCAGCTGATTAATTTTCTTTTGGTATAACTTGTTCACCGGATTTAAGTCCTAAACATTACACTATTGTGTATATTTATGACTAACTTTTGAGAGCTTTAATTTTACGATGAGTTTAAAAAACATTTTGAAATGAATTTATTACATTAATTTTATGTAAAAAAAATACTCTCTTTGTTCGTTTGACTTTTGGACATAAGTTATTTTATTTGAAAAATTATGTAATTATTTTTTATGTTGTTGTAATTTAATTGTGTACTTTAAATACTATATTTTATGTTTTTAATATCTACACTAATATTTTGAATAAGAACAATGGTCGAACTTATAGTTGTGTAATATATTAAAAAAACAACATGAATGAGTATAAATTATCTGTACTAGAATAATTGGCTCATGCTAACAGGGAAGTGCACGAGCCACGCGTAGCACATAATTCTCAGAGTAAGGTGCGTTGGCGGTTTTTAAACTTATAGGGTTGTATCATCTAGGTCTTCAAACTCTTAAAATGCAGATTCAGGTTCTAAAACTTGTCAAATTATATCATCTAGGTCCCAAATTGACATAGCCCCTCTAGTATCCTGCGTGACGCTGATGTGGCATGCCACGTGGACGTGACGTGTCCTTTTCTTTTTTTTCTTCTTTTCTTTTTTTTTTGTTTTCTTCTCATTCTTCTTTTTTCCCTTTCTTTTGCTCGGGTCACGAAGAAAGGAGAAGAAAGGAAAAAAATAAAAGAAGGAGAAGAAAAAGAGAAAAAAAAAGAAAGTGAAAATTTTTAAATGTTCGTGTGGCATGCCACATCAGCACCACGTAGGATTTTGAAGGGGCTGTGGTGATTTGAGACCTAGATGACACACTATGACAAGTTCTGCGATTTGGATATGTATTTTAAGAGTTTAGAAATATAAATGACACATCTCTACAAGTTGTAAGTACAACCCATACACTTTACTGTAATTCAAAAGAGGATCATCGACATCGTTCTCAGGAGGATCATCGAAGTAGCATCTTAGATGTCTTGCCGAGCTATCTTGCTCTTCGCTTCGCTGGCCCTCTGCTTTGTTCTTGACCCTTGGATTTATTTTGGACGATGCGGATCAGCGACGACTCCGCGACCTGACCCCAGAGTCTATACGGATAACATTCGTTGCCAAACGTCCCAGCCGCATGTCACTGCCACTCTGCACTCTTCTCTCATCCAAAACCCCAATTTCCCACCCAAATCTATCTCTTCTCTCATCTTCTTCTCTCCTGCGGATTTGCAAATTACACACTTCTGCAAGCTAAAAAATCCAGGTAATCTCCTCCTCTCCTGCAACATGATTTTCTTGCACCAATTCTTCTGTACTGCACCTGCAATCTCGTTCTGAACTTCTCCCATTTCTTTCTGCAGTTTTCTTGCTCAGGCTAGTGCCTGGTTGTATCTACAGCTCAGCTCAGAAAGAAAGGAGTGGTTTTTGAGGAGTGGTTTTTGTCTACACAGCTGCTGCATATCATGCCTCCACTTGCCACAATGTCATCGCCAGGTTCGCTTCTTCTGTTGACCCCCGCTGTGTACCAGGGGATTGGGAGAAATCGTGGAGGTTGGTAATATAATCGGTCTCCCTTAATTTGTCTTACCCAAGAAATGCTGTCTGCACTCGTCTCGCAAGAACTTTTTTTTTTCTAAAAAAGAGTGAATTTTTAAAGGGAAAAAAAAGAAGAATTGCTACTGATATATTGTCAATCGCATAAAGTGCTGTAAGGAAAAAGAGAGATGAGTACTATTTCAGAATGTAATTTAATATTAGGTGATGATGCTTTAGTATGAGCATAAACTTATTGTTATTCAATGTAGGACAAAGCCAGGAAGGACAATCTATCTCGTCTTCACGATCTCTCAAGACTAAACTCAGCGTTTCTGCCAGAGCAGTTTCTTCATGCGAAGCATCCATGGTGAGGACGTGCCTGCCTGTCTGTTCTGTGGTTAAGTAGAATATTTCTTGGTTTTGCTATGACATGCCTGCTCGTCATACTTGTGTTTTAGTTTTACACGGTCAAAAGCTTCATAGATCAATTTATTGGTTATAATATACTAATTCTCAGAAATACATTTATCAGGTATGACTGCATCAGCAAATCTGATAGCTGAGAAAGTTCATGTCTTCAGGCTTCAGTGCAAATCCAAAGTTTTGAACTTGAACTAGTTCATGAAATTAGAATAGGTCGGACATTTCACAGATTTATATATAAAGAAGCGCTCCTTGCATATTCTAAAAAAAATCACAGATTTAAAAGTATTGGATTTTTGTAACACAAGAGATGTATATCTCATATAAAATTGTGATGTTGTGAAAGAGTGCTTTCTCCCAGCTGTACTTTTAATATTAAAAAAATGTTATTTATGTGTGACACTTTGGTCCATTTCACGGAACATATATTCTTCAACTATTCATATTGGAGTAATCATTAGTCTCAAAAAGTAAATCACTCCTGCAAAAATAGGGAATTTTAACTAGACTTTCAGAGCTTCAGGCTTTAGCTAGAGAAAAAGAATTGAGACCTAAGATAGGTGAAGCGAAAACAAATTCCAAACTGCTAATTATTTAATCTTTTCATGTTCAATCTGGTGCTAGCTTGAATTCTGATTATACTCATCACTTCACAAAGCATGAGTTTAAGTTTTATTAGGCGACTATCGTGCTGTTTTTAAGAAAGCAACAGCATGAGTTTAAGTAGCTATGGTTTGTAATAACTTTCAATGTTAAGTTGCTGTGCAGCATGATGCTTCTAAATTTAGAAGTGCAGACACGAAGTTCTAACCAGCAAAAGGTCTGAAACCACCTAACACTAACTGTTTCTGAATTTGCTTTTTTTTTTCTGCAGAGAATAACATGTTGCGCAAACCAGACACAGACTGCACGACGCAAATCTTTCTCTGGACCTACCTCACCGCCATCAGGGTCAGTTAAAGGTAATGCAAAGCATCAGCAAAAATGCAAAATCCATGATGTTCGTCCTTTCTTCCTCCAAGAACTGAATCTCGTTGTACATAACAGTCCTTTCCTCCTCCAAGAACTGAATCTCATTGTACATAACAGCTATGTTTTCACTGCATTTGCTCACAGTTTCTCACTTCTTACATTTTTTTAGGGGATTCTCACTTCTTAATTCGATGACCTTATGCTTTCAGAGAAAGTGAGGAGTCCAAAGCTTGACGATGGAGGCACCGGCTTCCCGCCATTCCGGTTCGGTGGAGGAGGAGGAGGTGGAGGTGGAGGCGGCAGCAACTCTGCCGGTGGATTCATCCTGTTCGTGATCGTTTTGCTTCTTGATTACCTGAGGGAGTTTGAGAGGAACCTGCAGAATGGAACAAGGAGGGGCAGTGACTATGACAATGGGCTCGCTCCCCAATAGTTGGTTTGTTTCATAGGACACTTTAGCGACGATCCGAAATGCAAGTGGGCTGACCCGTAAACCCACTTATAAATCATTTAAGCGGGTCGATCCGTGGCTGGCCACTGGCCCATTTGCATCCTTATCTGAAACTCCTTTTCTGGAAATGTGTCAAGTGAGAATTGTGCCTGAGAAATGGTAATGGAGTGTAGCAGCCTTCTGGAAAGAAATGGTAATGGCATGTAGAAAGCTGAGACTGGTGTATCAAAGGCCAATGACAATAGCTACATGATATTTGAAGGGCCTTGATGAGGCAAATGAGTGACAATGGACCAGGTGTTTAAAAATGTGAATTTTTTGTTGAGATTGTTGATTGGATATGTTGCGAGAAGTGTTTGGAAATTTCAATAGAACTATTGCGGGCTCAATACTGCATAACTATATGTTGCATACAACAGTGACATTTCACATTTGTTTGCATGAAAAATCGTTAACATACTGTTGGATATGATAATGTTGACTTTTGGACATGATGCCTAATCATTCATCCTACTAAAACAATATATGTATCATTTGTTTTGTTGTGACATATTTTTTAGAGTAATTTAAGCATGACTTAAATTTTTATTTGCACTAAATTTTTAATAGGATAAATGGTCAAATGTAATGTCTAAAAGTTAACAACGTCGTGTATTTAAAAATGAAGGGATTACATTAGGTGATGCCACCCCTTTCTCTCACTCGTGATTTTTCTTTCTGATTTTCTACTTTATGCATAATACACAAGTGAAATTCACCTCATAAACGTTGGCTTTTTAGTCCACGTTCCCTCGGTCCCAACCTATGACTATGAGATGTATAGTCATAAACTCATTCAATCTTTAGTCATGTTGGAGCAAGGTACTCCTCTAGTGGGAAGGCAAGATGGCCTCCCTTGAGAGTTCAGCTAGGGTTCATGCATGTTCCGAGCTCGTGCTTGAGTTGTGCATAGGAGTGAGTAGACAAGTGGTTTATATATGTTTGGGTCGCTTGGAAGCGTAACACTATATTTCTATGTTCTTGCACTAAGAGATGATATGGAAAATAAGTCATAAATATCGCAAGATATTCCAACTGTATCAAAACCTCAAGCTGTTAATAAAAATTCGGACAATCGTACTTTCCTCCTACCATGAGATGATGAGAGTGAAAACAACATCATTAACGACCTACCCACCTACCTGCCACTGCTATGTGGGTTCAACCTATCATTGTCTCCATGAATCAGTTGCACGAGGCACAAAACGTAGTATGCATATAGTTTGTTGGAGTATTTGGGCTTTTACCACAAATTCTTTTTTAAAAAAGGGACAAAAATTACTAGCTGGCCTTTTGGGTCGTTAAAGAGTCGTTATCCGAGAAGCCCAAACCAAACCAATCGTTGGTATATAAGAGAACCCTTCGATGGTTCTAGGTTCCCTTGGTCAAACCAAGTGGTGGCAGCGCTCTCCCTTACCACCTACCTTTCTTATGGCCTTGTTTGTTGTGTAGCAATGGTGAGACGCTCCCATCTACTTTTCACCTTTGTCCGTGCTCTCCTTCGTTGTCTAGATAAGAGGCGTGGAGGTAGAGGTGATGACACATTGGAGCCTTCTGGTGACATTCTCACTTCTCTATATAGCTTCGCATCTTCTTCTTGCTCATCATCCTCCTGAGCTTGGATAGAGGGGTGATTGGCTTGTCGCCTAGCTAAGAGGCGTAAAGGTAGTGGCGATGATGCATTTGAGTTTTGGTGGATAATGGAGGTGACATTTTCATCTTTGTGCATAATTTTGCACATCATTTGTTGGAAATTTGGTAATAAATCGGCATACTTTAATCCAAAAAAAACAAGATACAGCGATCCTAGCATAGTGATAAACATGAATATGAATATGTTAACAGGTATAAAAACATTTAGCAACATGTTTAACACCAATATCAGAGTAGATATATACCCATAGAATGATCCACTGGATGATCAGGCATTAGTATTGCCTCCGTTGATGCTCTCTCCTGTACCACCGTTCCCTCCTCCTCCTGGTGCGCGGGCATTCTCTTCGTCTCCAGCAACGCTGGTGCTAGTGGAAGACATCGCGACGAAGAGGAAGTAGACGTAGCAGAGGATGTAGTCGACGCGATGAAGAGGAAGTAGACGTAGCAGAGGATGTAGTCGACGCACGCGACGAAGAGGAAGTAGACGTAGCAGAGGATATAGTGGATGCAGTGTAGCAGAAGACGTAGTTGATGCAAAGTAGTCGTGCCGGAGGATGCTCCCCCAAAACTTGATCACCTGCCTACTCGTGCAGATACACAAGTGGATGGAGTTTCGGAGGCCTGCTCGTCCCGAGCACCCGTGCAGGCAGGTGATGCCTCACCTGTGCCCGGCTCGGCGTGACGCGTGCGCATATGGCAATCCCACCATCACCTCAACCGGTCAACATGTGCTCTCTAATAGCTCTCTATTTAAGTTGAGATATCTCCACTTAAATTTTCAAGGTGGTATTAATTCTATAACATTATTTGTGAGCCAATGGAATTTATTGGGAATAAATTGGGCCTAGCCCATTTACTCCAACATCATGTGATTAAATCAAACCTTACATTGAAATATCGAGCAGAGCACACTACGAGAGCCGAATCGTGCATGTCAGCGAGAAAATCGTCTTTTAGATAGGTGTCAAACACAAGTGAATACAGACAATTTTCATCGGGCTACGTGAGAAAGAGGAAGACGTGGGTAAGGCCGAGACTGTGCACGTGTGTGAGTCCCACTGGGTCCCACAAAACGATTTATACGCTGCAGAGATCAAACATAAGTTTTGTTCGTTTGCATGGACTGAACTAATCAATGCAACACTAGAGATGCCCTAATCTTGGACAAAGAGGTGGTTGGCTTATCGTCTTTTTGAGTTACGACGAAGAGGTGATGACACAACTCATCCTCATGGTCAATGATAATCATCGTCAAGCCCTCATGGTGTGTATTGTTGATAAGTGAGAGATCACGAGAAAGCATAGCCTAGTGCACAATAAAGCTTGTTCGGGCAAGCTCGTCTCAACATTTTTTAGCGTCCAAATTTATCTTGGTAATGCTAGTTGAGTATTGATGCAGATACATTGGTTGACTTCTATTTCATCGAATTGGCTCAGTTTTTGAGTCCCTTCTATTTACTATGGTCACATGCTTCTCATGACTACTCAACATCATCCTGCTTGGTCTAGCCATCAACGACATCGTATTTCTATCAGCCACGTTGGTGAGTTCGTTCGTTCATTCTAGCTCTCTGTATTTTTTCCATGCAAAAATGATATACTGCTTGCTACTCCTTTTGCGTGTCACCTTTTCTTTTGGCATTGTGTAAAGGCCTGTGTTCATTTTTGGCGCTTGATAATTTGCCCATTTATGACATTGGTTACTGCCAAAAACCACCCAAATCAAAGAATGGCCAAAAATCAGCTGGCTTCACCCAACAGTTGGTGCTACACGTCATCCCATTCAATGCCTTCCGGTCAATCCCCCCATCTCTCTCCTCCCAGCTCCCAACACGTGACCCCCGGTGACCCCCACACTCACTGCGAGGTGGGTCCCACCTACGCCACGACCAGCCTATGGCCCACATGTCAGTGACGTGGCGTCGAACAGCCGCCGGCGCGCGGGGGTGACCTAGCCTGACCTGCACACTGAACTGCACCTGAGACCTGACCTCCCACCACCACCATCGTCGCCTCGCTCTCGCACTCGCACTCGCGCTCGTGTGGGTTCCCTTCTCGGCTTCTCCGAGGCGAGGGCTTGGCTGCAGGCTAAAACCCTCTCCGCCCCCACCCCCCGCGCGGTGGCTAGGGTTTTAGGGCGAGGGTGGGAGGAGGCAGGCAGGCGCGCGCGCGCGCGCGGGTGTTCAGGTGAGGGGGAGGAGGGCTCTGATCCCGTCTCCGCAATGTGGGGGGCGCTGGGTTACTCGCAGAAATGGGGGGAAAGGGGATGTGGTTGGTTGTTTGTCTGTTCATCGTCGCTTGTTGTGGGGGGTTTGGGTTTCCCCGAGGGAAGGGAAGATTTGGGTCGTGCGGAGAGGCGTGGGTTATTCAATTTTGGTGCACTTTGATATGCCTTTTTGTTTCCCAACTAAGGGGTTCTATCTCATGTATGATAAATGTTCACCGGAGTAATCCGTGTGGGTTTGGGGGGAAGTTTGTGGTGTGCTGGGAATCTAAACGAATCCTGATGATTGTGCGAAATGTTTTTTTAGTTAGGGGAGGGGAGGGGATCCTGGTGAGCATCCGCATCCTCTTTCTGATGATTCATCTCTCACTCTACCACCTGGAGTGCTTTTGTGTGGAATTTGCTCGCGTTCGTTCGTTAACCCTAGCTTCTCTTCTAGATCTGGAAGAAGCTCTTTCTCTTAATTTCAGAGCCTTAACCTTGATACAAGTAACAGTTTGTTTGTACTTTTGGATCTTCCCCTGTTGTTGGGTGTACTTTTGGTGGGTCGTAGTAGGATGCTAGAGCTAAGATGAAACAGAAGGAAATGCAGCTTCAGCGGTAGGAGTAACCTAATATTAGCTTAGCCACTTTGCCCTAATTAACTTGCTTGGAGACAAGGGCACACTCTCTAAGGGAATATATTTGTTAGTGCACCCATTAGGAAAAGGAAACAAATGATTAAAATCAAAAGCAAGTTTGATTTGGAGTGGTATTTTCCGAGAAGCCAACAAATAATTACAGCGGTTTTTATCCTACGTTTGCGAATTTGAGGTTGCTGTTTTCTGTTTGTTTCTGCTATTTCTTGTTGTTTAATTGGAGCTAATGGTGGGTTCTAGCTTGTTGGTATTACCGGTTCTTTCTTTTCAATTCTTTTTACGGACACAGCCATGTCCCTTTGTCTATTTCAGATAGATGGAGGAGGACCAGTCAGCAATTCCGGTTGCTGAAGGTGCCATCAAGAGCATCAAGCTTAGCCTATCCACTGAGGATGAGATTGTAAGTTCTCCTTCTCTGATGCTTTTTACCAGCAATGCTTGCAGAAAGAGATGCATGCAGAAGCGACAACTTGGTCATTGTGATCCATTAGAGACAGTACCGTCTGATAAGGGAGCATATGATTGATGTAACTACTCTTGATGATGAGATCTAGAAACCCTCCTTTTCTCTATCATTTATATTTGATATCATTTGCGAATGGACCTCTAGCTGAGTTGGTTAGGTGGCTCTAGTAGCACTCCTCAGGTCCTGGGTTCGACTCCTTGTGGGAGCGAATTTCAGGCTGGGGTTGAAAAAAAATCCCCTCGTTTGTCCCACGCCAAAGCATAGGTCTAAGGACCAGCCTATTTTCACGGGTTACGGTGCTGCTGTGTAAGGGTGGGGCAAGGGTTCGGGGGTTTTCTTGACCTGCCTGTGCCGCTGTGTAAGGGGGGTTAGGGGGTTTTCTTGACATGCGTGAGAAGGTCTTACCCTCCCTCCCCCGTCAGGTCAAGTTTTATATTTGATATCATTCAATTAGATTTACCTATGATGCATGATCTGTGCTATTCAATCGCAATGCAAAATTTGAATTTGTAAGATTAATTTTATCAAGATGAGTGTTGCTATGAGAGCTTTTCTTTTTGACCTTTACTTTTGCAATGTAAAGATGAATGTTGTTTGTTAGTTAATACTGAAATCTGACATTTTCTTTTGCATCTGGAAGTGCTGATACATGGGCTTTTTCGCTAACTAACGGAGCTGTTTTACATTTTGTGGATTTAAATACTTGATGTTGCATTCTTCTACTTGATTCATATGAATTTAGCCTTCTTTTTTTTTGTATTTTTTGTTTCTCATGAATATGGCAAGGATATATCCTGCACAGTTCCCATTTATATTTCCTACTGTAATACTATGTTTTTTATTTCCAACATGACTGATACACACCTTTCTGTCCTGCAGCGTACTTATTCTATAAATGACTGTCCTGTCACTCATCCTAGTCAGCTCGGAAATCCCTTCCTTGGGTTACCTTTGGAGACAGGAAAATGCGAGTCCTGTGGTGCCTCAGAAAATGGAAAATGCGAAGGTTCTCACATGATGACTTCTCATTAGTTTTTCATGCCCAAGATATTGTTCTGTAGCAACTGACAATCCACTTTTCTCTTCTTTAAAACCAAAATTATCTGCTTATTTAGGGCATTTCGGGTACATTGAGCTGCCTGTGCCTATATATCACCCTTGCCATGTAACGGAACTGAGGCAGATATTAAATGTGGTATGTTTGAAATGCCTCCGCGTCAAGAAAGGAAAGGTACATACAGGTCAAAGCAGCTAAGTCTTAATTTTCTAAATCCAATTGTCTTACTTTGGCTTATAATTAATGTGATCTTACCATGTATCAGGTCAAACAGACAGAGGGAAAGGATAACACATCAGCATTGTCATGCTACTATTGTCGGGTACTTTCCAACCCCAACAATTTTGTATATCCCTTCTGCCTTGAAGTAGACAGACATAATATTTCATTGTTTGACATGTATAAGTAGTAGGAATATGGAACATATGCCTCTCGAAGAACCAAGTATACCAGTGTTTTAAGTTTAATCCACTCATACATAGTCCGGATGTTACAGCTTAGTTGGTTTTAAATTGATCAAAATCTGCTTGGGCAAAACATAGCCAATGTTACTGACATAGCTGTTGCAGTATTCACTCAGTAATCCTATCCATACATATGCTTTCACTTATATATTAAGTTACGGAATAAGTTTTATGTTGCATTCTTTTGCAATAAAACCATTGATTGCAAAGTTTTTTTGTCTACACAGAGAATGAGTGACAGACTAGCACTGTATTCAGTTTTATGTTTGTTCAGTAACATGTCGTCGTTGAAAACAGTACACAGGATCAAAGTTATGCTGTATGATGGAGTGTTATTGGAACTTGTAAGATGTGGCCAACAATCATGACATAAGCATTACTATATCATGTTTTTATTAGTTTTTTAGCGTATGGCTTTTGGTATACAGCTTTAGTTGTTTTTATTAGATGCTAGCCTTGACACTATAAACATTTACAATCCGGATGAGTGGCAACTGATGTTCATCGCCATTTACTTCTTTAGGATCTTCCGGCATTATCTTTGAAAGAAATCAAAACAGCAGATGGTGCATTTCGTTTAGAGTTGAAAATGCCTCCTAGGAAATTCATGACAGAAGGCTCATGGAACTTCCTTGACAAGTATGGATTTCACCATGGTGGAACCTCCCACTGCAGGACCTTGCTCCCGGAAGAGGTTAATCTCATTTACTTTATTTTTATGACTTCTGTAAGCTCCTAAATATCCAACAACCTACATGATCGTCTGTCATTCCTGTATCGTTTGCTAGGCTCTCAATATATTGAAGAAAATTCCTGAAGAAACGAAGAGGAAACTAGCTGCTCGTGGTTACATTGCTCAATCTGGATATGTGATGAAATACCTCCCCGTGCCACCAAATTGTTTATACATTCCAGAATTTACAGATGGGCAGAGCATCATGTCCTATGTGAGTTCTTCCTCACGTTTGTTCTTCATAATTTTCCTGACTGGTTCAATTCTATGTCATGGCTTATTATACTTGCTTCTCATATCAGGACATATCAATATCTCTGCTGAAGAAGGTGCTTCAGAAAATAGAGCAGATAAAAAAGTCAAGAGCTGGATCCCCAAACTTTGAATCACATGAAGTTGAATCATGTGATCTACAGCTCTCTATTGCCCAGTACATACATCTAAGGGGCACTACAAGGGTATGTTGCATGATCTTAATGTGATAGTTTATTTACCATATTTACATGAGAGCATGTTCAGGAGAGTCCTGTCTCAGCTAGAGAATTGCTCCAGAGAGTAGCTCATCTGCTCACACACAAATTGGTCACTTGTTTTGTAATCGTAATTGTCACCAAGCCATGAATTAGGATCGACTAGTTGTCAACTGCATTTGCACAGGCTGTCGACTTAAGCTCATTTTTACAACAATTTCAATACTCCTTATAGTAACCAAACTAAAAATATGAATTTACATTTGACTTCATATTAATATAATTATAATGACTGAGCACATGCATACAAGGGATTTTGATTCATAAATCTCTCAGAAGATAGCAACAAATGACCAAGCATATCCATATGGGTTGGGTTGATCTTGTGTCGGGTTGATCCTGTGCATGAGTATACACTGTGGATGGTTATCATTGAGGATGAACGGTCTGCTATTGTGCGTCTATGTGCACCCTTTATTAGAGAAAACAGCCATGCAAACCATGCATGCATTGTCAGTGAATTCATAATTTCATATTGCATAGGACGTCCGTCATGATCATAGACACACTAAGCAAAACTGCTCATTTCCCTACATTAACTATATTATCGAACTCCCTTATAGCTATTAAACCCGAAACTACAACATTTCTATAGTAGTTGGACCTGAAAAGGTTCATGAAATTCATCAACTATTAGTTCATGTTAAAGCTTTCTTCCATAGGTTTATGTTTTACAACCGTTCTCTCCCAGTAGTTGTGTGCAATCACTTATTTAGTCTTGTTTCTTTTGTCCCACGGTAATGTTGTCTTGCAGGGTCCTCAAGACAACACCAAGAGATTTGCAATCAGTACTGATCCTTCTGCGTTATCAACAAAACAATGGCTGGAGAAGATGAGAACATTATTTATCAGCAAAGGGTCAGGGTTTTCATCACGCAGTGTACTTACTGGAGATCCATATATTGGAGTAGATGTGATTGGACTGCCTTCTGAAGTGGCAAAAAGAATCACTTTCGAAGAGCAGGTAACAGACATCAACCTTAACAGGTTGCAAGAGATTGTGGATAAGGGATTGTGTTTGACCTACAGAGATGGCCAGGCAACCTATGCCATCACCGTTGGATCCAAAGGTCACACTACCCTGAAAGTCGGACAGACTATCAGTAGGAGAATTGTTGATGGGGATGTTGTTTTCCTTAACCGTCCACCCAGTACCCACAAGCATTCCCTCCAGGCATTTCGCGTGTATGTCCATGAAGACCATACGGTCAAGATCAATCCGCTCATATGCGCACCTTTTGCAGCGGACTTTGACGGTGATTGTGTGCACATCTATTATCCACAGTCCCTTGCTGCAAAAGCTGAAGCACTGGAGCTTTTCAGTGTGGAGAAGCAGCTTACCAGTTCGCACAGTGGCAAGGTCAATCTCCAGCTAGTTAGTGACAGTTTGCTTGCTCTGAAGCATATGTCTTCCAGAACAATGTTGAGCAAAGAAGCAGCTAACCAGCTGGCAATGCTTGTTACATGTTCTCTTCCAGATCCTGCTGTGATCAAGTCAAAGCCGTACTGGACAATCTCGCAAATAGTGCAAGGTGCTCTGCCAAAAGCCTTAACTTCTCAAGGGGACAAACACGTAGTCAGGGACAGCACTATTATAAAACTGGATCTTGACAAAGAATCTGTTCAGACATCATTCTCAGATTTAGTGTATTCCACTCTTTCTGTTAAGGGTCCAGGAGAAGCACTACAATTTTTGAATGTGCTGCAGCCATTATTGATGGAATTGATTCTTTTGGATGGCTTTAGTGTAAGCCTCCAGGACTTCAATGTTCCCAAGGTTCTATTGGAAGAAGCACAGAAGAACATTGAAAAACAGTCTCTTATCCTTGAACAATCAAGATTTGCAGAAAATCAGGTTGTTGAAATGCGTGTTGATAATAATTTGAAGGACATCAAACAGCAAATTTCAGATTTTGTTGTGAAACGCTCTCATCTTGGACTTCTGATTGATCCAAAGAGTGACTCTTCAGTGTCTAAAGTTGTCCAGCAGCTTGGTTTTGTGGGTTTACAACTTTACCGTGAGGGGAAGTTCTACTCACGTCGTCTGGTGGAGGATTGCTACTACACTTTTGTGAACAAGCACCCAGCTGTCAGAGAAGAACATTCTCCAGAGGCATATGGTCTTGTACGGAGTTCATATTTTCATGGCCTTAATCCGTATGAGGAGCTGGTGCATGCTATTTCGACAAGAGAAGCTATTGTTCGCTCCTCTAGGGGGTTGACGGAGCCTGGAACACTATTTAAGAATCTAATGGCGTTACTGCGGGATGTCGTCATATGCTATGATGGGACAGTAAGAAATGTCTGCAGCAAGTCTATCATACAACTTAACTACACGGAGGATGATGCCTTGGACTTCCCTAGTGCAATAGGTCCTGGCGAACCAGTTGGTGTCTTGGCTGCGACTGCTATCTCCAACCCTGCATACAAGGCTGTCTTGGATGCATCTCAGAGTAACAATACTTCATGGGAGCGGATGAAGGTAATAACATTAAATTATTTTATGCATTGGTAAAAGGTAATATTGTATGCATGCATGATAAGTTTGGTATATTCCTTTAACCTAACAGGAAATACTTCAGACAACAAGTCGCTACAAAAACGATATGAAAGACCGAAAAGTTATCCTATTTCTGAATGATTGCTCTTGTGCCAAGAAGTTTTGCAAGGAAAAGGCTGCTATTGCAGTTCAGGGCTGCCTAAGGAGAATTACGTTAGAAGATTGTGCTACTGACATCTGCATTGAGTAAGTATCCATAATTAATGCTGTCAATTATATTGGTATATAAATTAATGCTGTCAATTACTGGGGTATGTAGTTATATTCGCTTGCTTTGCTTTTAGTGAAATCAATGAAGGACTTTATTTCTTTTGTGGTTGTTTTATTGTAGTTCCCTGGATTTCTTATACCAAAGTCTAAAACTCAAGTTTCCTTTTCCTTTTTGGTCCTTCAGAATACTTTCCATTTTTGAAATGTGAAAGTTTTGCGGATATAGAATGTAGATAGTTGGCAAATGTTCAATATCTGTCCAATGAACTGAAAATTATGTGGATCTAGAAAGTAACTTAGTGTTAACTTATCTGTTTGCACAAACAGTGTGTTTGACTGGGTTAGGTCTTATCATATTTAGGGATGGAAACTGGGCTGCACCCGCTGGGTTTCAGCACCCCGTACCACCCCCGCAATGCAAGATATTGCCCGTCCCCATCCCCATCCCCGCACACGGGTCAGTCAAGTTTCCCCCTGTCCCCATCCCTGCACCAGGTATGGGTCACCCGGTGGGTCCCCACACTCGGTAACAGGAACAAGAGAGTAGCAAGCTACAAGCCAGCAACATGACAGCACAACAGCAACAAAGCCAGGAACGAACCAACAAAACTAGTTAGCCAAACACAAATGCCTGAACAACCAAACATCAAACAGATCATATCCAACTATCCATACTTAAACACCAACAGCGTCAAAGTATGAGGTCATAGATTGGCAGTGGCAGCGGCGCGTTAGTCGCGACAGTGACGTGGTGTGTCCTTGAAGCTTCACAGTGGCGCAGCCTAGAGGTTGCCCTTCTGGTTGCCCAGGTGGCTTCGTGCAGTCGCTCTCGCTCCTTCTGGTTGCCCTGCCGATTGGATCTGAGAGAGTGGAGGGGAGGAGTGGAAGGAAGAGTGGATGTGGACTGTGCTAAGGTTTCAGTACTTTATATATGCACCTCTGATTTGGGCCTTCTAAATGCTTTTTTTTTTTTACTTTTTGGGCTGTGGTCTTAAAGGGATTTGCACCTTCCTGATTGACTTGGGGCCCCATGGGGATTCGGGGGCCGGGGGCCTGCAGAACGTCCCCGCTCCCAGCCCACCCGATGGGTGAACAATTTGGCCTAAAACAGCCCCATGGAGGGTGATTTCCTCCCATTTACAGCCCATAATAGAGTTATTCCCCGCCGGTTATCATGTCCGGGTCCCCATTGCCATCCCTAATAGATTCATATTTTATCTGTTTAATGCTGAGAACCCGGTATCTCTTTTCCATGGATCTGCACATCAGTGTTCATTGTCCACTAACTAGTCATGGACTTGGTTCATTGATGTTAAACTTCAATCATTTATATACTCTTGAAATTGTCCATCATTATGCAACTGGAACTGCCATAAAACAACTTAGAAATTGGTCACGACAGTACCCAGATAAATGCAAGTTTTGATCATTCTCAAAAATGGAAATTGAGATAAAAGTCTCCTTGTCGCATATTGTTGGCTTTTAGTATTCATTATCATTTGAGCAGAACACCTTAAATATAACATTCACGTTGTCAGGTACCAGAAGCAAATAGGTTTAGATGGAACTTCAGAAGCAGCCCCAGCACTTGTTGGCCATATTCATCTTGACAGGGTATTATGATATATTCTTATGTTGGTGAATACTTGCATGCAAACAGTTGTTTTTATTATGCCCTGATAATATATGTACATCTTTCTTTCAGGCACATTTAGAAAGGATCAACATTAGCACTGAAGATATTCTTCAGAAATGCCAAGAAGTTTCTGGGAAATATGGGAAGAAGAAAGGACATCTCAGTAACCTGTTTAAAAATATTACATTCTCTACTTGGTAACTATCTATTCTCTACTATATTGCTTGAGATCTCACGTTTGAAGAATAAATTGCACGCACTGCTGTTTTGTTTATGTGGTTGTGTCCTGCCATTAGTTGCTATGGTTGTTGGCGGTTTTATAGTTTTGGTAGAAGAGGGTTGTCATCTTGTAGATTGCTAGGGTTATTCAAGTGCTGCATTGCTCTTTAATCAGATGTTCAATATCTAATATTTCAACATCATGATGATGTGAAATCCTACTTATGATATGTGATTGTCGCTCGCTGTATCAAATGATAAGTTAGTTAACCTCAACTACAACCATATGCTGTACCTGGCTTGCAAGTTTCATCTCCATTGAAGTAGTAGAAATGAGCCATAAGAAAGAGGTAAGGGGATCTTTATTTGCTTCCTAGTTCCAAGATTGTTCAGTTTTGATTTTCTTTTTCATGTTGTTTATAGCAAAGTATTGGTAGCTTGGCATAGCAATGGAGCCATCGTCTAGGCAGAGAATATTGATGCATTGTTTATTTCAAATCACAATTCCTGGCAATATTCTACTTAAGTTCATTTTCAGTTAATCATTTTTAGCATTAATTATTATCTGTTTACTGTGAGACGATATTATATTATTTAATCGTACTCAAGTTTTCACCCTTACTCTTGGCAGCGATTGTTTATTCACACAGAAGCTGGTTGATGGAAAGCTACCTAAGCTTCCGTGTTTGCAATTCTTTGTTTCTGATAACATGATAGTATCTGAATCAGTGGAGAGAGCAGTCAGTGTGTTAGCTGATTCTCTATGTGGAGTGCTTTTGAATACAATCATAAAAGGTACTGTAAGTTGTACATAATATGCTTCTGTTGGAATTTCATTTTCAATACAATTTATTATTTAGGTTCAGTTGAAAATCCTTTATTCACATCTTGCCATGTTTTTTAAGGGGTGGGGGGGGGGGGTCCAAAAAGCCAAAGAATTATGATTGATCCATTTTTAGCCCTTAAAAAACAATTATCTTCCTTCACGCTCATGTCTTTCATAATACTTTTCTTTTTTTCCCCCAAAAAAGTTACCACTATTTTCAGAACCATAACTGTTATTGTGTTGCAAACCTAGTTCATGATGGGGTAAACCATTCATTGGAGGGGTTCAAACAATGATGGCTTGTGGTTGAATGGCACTAGGTGGAGTGCACTGACTGAGGGATGGATTTAGAGTAGCTGGTTAAGGGAAAGATCATCTGATTGTATAGAGAGATGTGGCTCTGTTTGAGGCAATAGGATGTCATGGCCTGGCATAACTAAAGGATAACCTGCTAACAAAGGATGGGACTATAATGAACAAATTGGTACCCTTTAGTGCTAAAGCTGCTGCCTGCTGGCTCCACAGCTGTAACAGATTAAGACATTCTCTGTTAATGTTTGGTAGTTAACTGATTCTATTGGTTAAATTATTGTTATAAAATTAATGTTCTCCTGTCCTGTCACAAAAAAAAAAGTGTTGATGTGTTAACCAAATAAGGGTAGTACTTTTAGCTCAACAATTTCCTTGAATTGAGAATGTTGCTCTGCAGGTGATCCTCGAATTCAAGAGGCTAAAATTGTTTGGGTTGGATCGGATGCAACATCTTGGGTTAAAAACACACAGAAGGCATCAAAGGGTGAGCCAGCAGTAGAAATTATTGTTGAAGAAGAGGAAGCTTTACATATTGGTGATGCCTGGAGAACAACAATGGATGCCTGCATACCGGTTCTGAACCTCATTGATATACGGAGATCAATCCCTTATGGTATTCAACAAGTGCGAGAACTTCTTGGCATCTCATGTGCTTTTGATCAAGTTGTGCAGGTTTGTCACCTTACCCTTTTTGTTTGTAAGTTTGGGAGGTATTTCATTTCAAATCTGCTGTTTGCAGGTCACGCTGCAGATCTTTCCAATCTTTTTAATGGATTATTTGACCACTTGCATTTACAAGAACTTACTAAGGAAAATTTATAAATATATGAACTTAGTATTTCATGATAGCTCTATGGCTACCTCTGCTTCACAAACTACTGTGTTTCCGTGGAAATAGCTGTTTGACAATGTTGATCTAGGTGTGTTGGGGAACTATCTATGGTTTACGCGTGAATGCGATAATTGCATTTTTTTTTCCATGTCTGACCAAGATTTTAATGTTAATAGAGAATGTTGACTGGTGGAACATTCGGTTTTGTTTTTAATGGGCAAGTTTGGTCCATTTCAATTGAGTTGTATTTGATTTCTACGATGAACTCTTTTGTACATCATGTTTGTGCTTATGGATTTGTCCAATGCATTTTATAAATTTTTATCTTGCATCTCATTTCAATAGATTATTTTATATGTGCTGAATTGTGCAGCGGCTTTCAACAACTGTAAGGATGGTCGCTAAAGATGTTCTCAAAGATCATCTGGTACTTGTGGCAAATAGCATGACATTTACTGGAAACCTGAATGGATTTAACAATGCTGGTTACAAGGCCACCTTCCGTTCCTTAAAAGTTCAAGTACCTTTCACAGAGTCCACATTGATTGTAAGCTTATCTCTGAGATCAATTGGTTTGTTTTTTATCATCACATACATTTTATTGATTTGGCCCTTTTATTTTGTAGACCCCTATGAAATGCTTTGAGAAGGCTGCAGAGAAATGTCATTCGGATTCATTGGGATGTGTTGTTTCATCATGTTCTTGGGGCAAGCATGCTGCAAGTGGTACTGGATCATCTTTTCAGATTCTGTGGAATGAAAGTCAGGTAAGCTGGTTTTTTCTGCCCACTGGAGCTTATTGATTATATAAGAAGTGGGGCTTCACTCTATTTAATTGGGGCTAATCTGCTTAAAGATCTTTGCACGGTGTGACCAATCAAATGAATTAGCGTTTTAGTGAAAAAGTAGCTCTGCTTATTGTTGTAATTGATTTTTTTCAGCTGAAAAGCAATAAGGAGTATGGTGATGGCCTGTATGATTACTTGGCATTGGTGCGTACTGACGAGGAAAAGGCAAGATACACATTCTTTGATGATGTGGACTACCTTGCAGAAGAGAACGAGGCAGATGTGTGCTTATCTCCTGAATTGGATGGGACCATTGGTCAACCGATCTTCGATGATAATTTGGAAGAGCAAGATGTTCAGAATAACAGCTCGTGGGATAATGGCACAACAACAAATGCAAGCTGGGAACAGAATGGTAGTGCTGGAAATGATTCTGATAAATGGGGAGGTTGGAATGATGCAGCTGCAGGAGCTGACACGGGAGTCACAAAACCAGCAAACCAAGGGAATTCGTGTTGGGATGTGCCTGCGACAGTGGAAAAGAGTTCCTCTGATTGGGGAGGCTGGGGCACTGAAAAGGCGAAGGAGAAGGAGAAAATATCTGAAGAGCCAGCTCAACATGATGCTTGGTCTGTCCAGGGCCCTAAAAGGGCAACAGATGGAGGAGCCAGCTGGAAGAAGCAGTCTAGCACTCAGAATGATGGGAACTCCTGGAAAGAGAACAAGGGAAGAGGATCAAATGGAGGTTCCTGGGAGAAAGATAATGCGCAAAAGGGATCATGGGGCAGGGGCAATGATGAAGCTGAAAATAATAATGATGTGCAAAACAAATCTTGGGAGACTGTGGCTGCAGATGCTCATGCTTCTACAGAGAAGTCCTGGGGCAATGTTACTGCATCTCCATCGGATAATGCATGGAGTGCTGCTCCGGTTTCCCAAGGGAATGGAAGTTCAGATACAAAGCAATCTGATTCTTGGGATGGCTGGAAGTCTGCTGGAGTTGACAAAGCAATTAACAAAGACAAGGAATCCTTGGGCAATGTGCCTGCATCTCCATCATTTAGTGCGTGGAATGCTTCTCCAGTTTCCCAAGGGAATGAACGTTCAGATGCAAAGCAATCTGATTCTTGGGATGGCTGGAAGTCTGCTGGAGTTGACAAAGCAATTAACAAAGACAAGGAATCCTTGGGCAATGTGCCTGCATCTCCATCATTTAGTGCGTGGAATGCTGCTCCAGTTTCCCAAGGGAATGAACGTTTAGATGCAAAGCAATCTGATTCTTGGGATGGCTGGAAGTCTGCTGGAGTTGATGATTCAGTTAAAGACAAGGAATCCTGGGGTAATGTGCCTGCATCCCCATCAGATAGTGCGTGGAATGCTGCTCCAGTTTCCCAAGGGAATGAAAGTTCAGATGCAAAGCAATCTGATTCTTGGGATGGTTGGAAGTCTGCTGGAGTTGATGCTTCAACTAACAAAGACAAGGAATCCTGGGGCAATGTGCCTGCATCTCCATCAGATAGTGCATGGAATGCTGCTCCAGTTTCCCAAGGGGATGATGTCTGGAATTCTGCTGAAGCCAATGAGTCACGTAATAAGGACTGGAAATCAGATGGATGGGGTGCCAGAGGTGGCAATTGGAGGGGCCAAAGAAACAATCCTGGTAGGCCCCCAAGGAAACCTGATGGCAGGGGTCTGCCTAGGAGACCTGATGAGAGGGGGCCACCAAGGCGACACTTTGACCTAACAGCTGAGGAGGAAAAGATTCTAGGAGAAATTGAACCCACTGTGCTGAGCATCAGAAAGATTTTCCGTGAATCAATGTAAGTTACTTCATGATTATTTGTTAATTTTGTGTGATTCATGATTTACAGTTATATGCTTTTAAGTTTCTGAATAGAGGAGGCTTGGCTTTTATATGAAAGTATGCTAGGTCCGACATTTAATTGATTTGTACTGTCTTAAGCTTTTTAACTTTATTGTTGACTTAAAATTTTGCAGTGATAGCATAAAACTTTCTCCGGAAGACGAAAAATTCATCAAAGAGAATGTTCTTGAACACCACCCTGAGAAACAATCAAAGGTGTCTGGTGAAATCGATCACATAATGGTATGGTTCTCTTGTTACTTTTGGGTTGACCTGTTGTGCAATTGCCCGATACGCTATAATGAAATATAGCATTCGTTTGGCTTATGGTGTGCAATGGCCTCATTTAATTTGACAGGTTGACAAGCACCAAGTGTTCCAGGATAGTCGGTGCTTGTTTGTGGTGTCTTCAGATGGAACTCGGTCAGATTTCTCCTATTTAAAATGCATGGAGAATTTTGTGAGGAAGACCTACCCTGAGCATGGGGACTCATTCTGCAAGAAGTATTTCAAGAGGCGCCGTGACCAACCACCAGCAGCTGATGGAGGCACAGCACCAGGCACTCCAGCTGGGGCTACACAGTCTACTGCAGTTGATACCCAGGAGGGCACTTCACAGCAGACCCAACCAGATATCGCAACCGCTCCAGCTGCAACTCAACAAGAGACTCTTCAAGACACTCCAGCTCCTCCAGCAGACGATGGATTGCTCGGGAAGGGACCTAGCCCGTCTGACTGATGCTCAGGGTGCGCTTAGAGCTGCCAACATCCTGCTTGTGCTCTAATCCTGCCACTCTTTTTTTCCTACTTGGCCTGACATTGCCTAGTGACTAGACAGATGGTGACTTTGTGTAGTAGAGAAGGGTTAGCAGTCTTTAGGTCTCACTCTTCCAGACGAACTCTGTAAATTCTGGATGTTAGTGAGCTGCATCCCGTAGCTTAAACTCGTTTTTACCCTCTCTTTTTTTTTTATCTTTTTTGTCTTTCCAGTATGGTTATTTGGTTAGTCCAATGCAAGCCGATTCTGCGAGGCCGTGCCGAATCTGATGATTTTGTTGTTCTGCAAGGCACAGAGCTCTCGCTGGTGCTGTTTCATTTTGGATGCTGTTACAGGGTTTTGTAAAGACACTGAAACTACCATGCGAATCAGCAAAAGATGGATTCCCTGCTGTGAACAAGCAGGTGGCCTTGCATGAATTCATTCATCAAACATGAGGTCTTGCTGGTGACGCCACAAATTTGGTTTGATGTGTTTGCACTGAGCTGGACCAATCTGTTCTTGAAATTTCTTCAGGTTGGTACAGAAAATAGGTAATATTGTATTCTGTCATTTCATTACCAAGACCAGTGGTGTGAACAAGCTGGAGGCATTGCTTAAATGCATCCGTCAACCGTATGATTGTTTCAGCAAAAATCACAAATTTTGTTTGATGTATTTGCACAGCAATCTGTTCTTGAGATTACTTCAAACTGGTATAAAGCAAATAGGCAATGCTGTACTGTCATTTTGGGTTTTTTCACTTATCATTTTCGACCTTTCAAATTGTGGTAATACTACCAAAATTTTGTAAGGTACTTCCTCCGTTCAAAAATGTAGCTACCTAGTACGGGCATCACTAGGTAGCTACATTTTGGGACAGAGGTAGCAGTGAACTACACGTACCTTGTCAACTCAACCCAACCAATTTTTGGGTAATTATATTACTTTTCACTCGTAAAAATCCTTCCAAAAGTTAGTAAGGTATTAACCCAAACACAACCACTCTTACCTTATCAAAATTTGGTAACGTCGAAAATTGACATTAGCGAAAAAATGATTTTTATTTATTTTTCATTACCAGGATGCATTTCATCCATCAACATTCATTAACCATATGATTATTTTCAGCAAAGACCACAAAAAATTGTTTGATATATTTTGCACTGAACTGGAGCGCGCCCTGTTCTTCGGATCACTTCAATCCGGTAATAACAAAGCAATGCTGTTTTCTGTCATTTCGTTACAAAGGATCAGTAGTATACTCCTAAATAATAGGCACATCCAACCGTCAGATCCGCATCCAACGGCTGAGATCCCCGCCGCCGCGGCGTGGGAGTCATCACACTAGACTAGTACACTAGGCTAGCCGCCTCGACCGAACCCCTCCACTCTCTTCCGCCTCCGCCTCCGCCTCGCCGCCGCCGCCGCCGACGACGACCTCCACCTCTCCACGCCGCCGTCTGCGATGCAGGCCCGCGTCGTCGTCTTCCCCGTCAAGGGAAGGGCCTGGTGCTTCGCCAGCCCGCGCGCCACCGCGCCCGCCGCCGCTTGCGGGGGCGGCGATGGGGGCGCCCTACTACCCCCACCGCCGCCAACCGTCAAGGACCTCTGGCGCGGCATCGCCGGCGGGGGCCGCACGGCGTCGGAGAACGCGGAGGCCGTCGTCGACTTCGTCGCGGACAAGGTGCTCGACTCGACGGGGAGCGCCTTCTCGTCTCTCGCCTTAACTGCATTCTCGCATGCCGCCCGCATTTGGGGGGTTTCTGATGGTGGGGTTTTGGCTGCCGCAGATGAACCGGGCGTGGATCGGGTTCGGGAGCGCGCCGGAGGGGTCGATGAAGAACCGGATCCACAGGTCGGGAGTGTAAGGGTTTGGGGATTGCTTAGTGGCGGGTGGCGCCTGTGGAGTCGGAAATGGCGAGATGCTGAGTCGTTGGGTGTGCTCCCCTTTTTTTTTGCTTTGTTGTGGTGTAGCTTCGGGCTGAAGCTGCTCTCGCGGGTGCGGCCGTCGGAGGTGCTGCTCAAGTCGGTGACCAAGGACGTCTCCCTACTCGAGATCGTGCATCCGGCAAGGTGAGCTCTGCTTATGAGTTTGGTGTTTGTGTTTGATAAAATGTGCGTGCAATTTGTGTCGTTTCACCTTTGTTGTTATTCTTAGTTTGATTGTCGAATCGATTGGGATATTCAACTATTTGGGTCCTTGTTGTGATGAATATTTCCTAAGGCTCTGAGCCTCTGTGCAGGAAATCATACAGTATCTGTCGTTAGTGGCTTAGCTTACTTGCAATAGCAATTTATCATTAACGGATACACATTGTCGCCAATGAATGGAACTATTAGAATGTCTGAGCAGATACTAATTTAGATATACAAGTTTCAGTATGCTTCATGTAGCGATACATGGGTTATATCTGATCAAGTTTGAGCATTGACTCTGACATCTCTATCATTCCGTTCCAATACACAATTCACACCAGCTTTCTCTGTTCATAGCTGTTATTCAAGAACTTTGTTGGGACAAAGTAGTTGAAAGTCCTTCTATTCTAAGGGCCTGTTTGGCACAGCTCCAGCTCCACCTCTCCTGGAGCTGGAGCTCAGCCAAACAGTTTCAGCTCCACCTGAAATGGGAGCGGAGCTGGGTGGAGCGCTCTCACAAAATGAACTAGAGAGGTGGAGCTGGGTCCATTCCAGACCCAACTCCTGGAGCTAAATTTAAGAGTTGGAGCTCTACCAAACAGGGCCTAAGAAATTGCATGATTTGCGTATTGTAAGTCTGCTGTAAAAATGTATGTCTTAATTCTTCACAGCTTGTAGCTGCTTGTTTTTTGAACCTCTGTGCGTGCTCCGTAACTGTAAAATGGTAGATTCTGTGTCAGTGCCTGTTGTTGCACAGAAGAAGCTCTAAAAGACTTGTTCACACGAACTATTCTTTTACTGGCTTCGTAAGTTACTTGGAAAGCCTCATGCATATGCTTGTTTTTGTATAGAAGTTAGCTATTGAGCTTTATGAATCGCTCTGGCACTATCAAGCATCACCAGACAGAGTTGGTCGGCAATTTTCTTACTCATGTCTTATTTTATGTCTATTCAAGATTATTTCTGAATCCTAGCTTTAATTGCAGTATAAATCCTCGTCTTGTGCGTCGACGGTTGCGGCATATTGCTGTCAGGTGAGTGTTTGATGGACCTGCTCCAACAATTTGTTACTGTATAGCTCAATTTATATCTTTCCTCACCCTTCTGTTTCTGCAATGTTTCTGAGAACCAGGGGTGCATCAGTTCACAGGAAATTTCTTTATGGCTCAGTTTGTTTGCTTCCAGTTACAAGTGTTTTCATGGTAAGTCTATATTCATTTGCTTTGGAAAAAATGGTGTTGGCTAGCAATTTGCAACAGTGATTTCAGTGGGATCAGTTTGTTGTACTTTGAAGGGATTTTTTTTTTCATTTTGCGATGCTATCAATTATTGACCAAACTAAAAAGATTATTAGATCTTTATTTTTGCTTGCTGCCTTTGCTAGATTGCGCACAATATTAGTTGAGGCTTGTGTTTGGTCTACTTTTCAACTTAGTACATCAAATTAAGAAAAATATGATGAGCTCATTTACACATTAAAGATAAGGGATTTTTACATATGTGGGAGGTATAATTTACACTTCTGATTCAGTTAATGAGCCATACAATATAATTATAATTTTGTGAGATTGTGCTCCAGTGATGTCTAGTTTATAACCTAGCACACATTACTTGAATCCTGATGACCCGGTAGGTTCTTATGTTTTAATCATTAACCAGAGTATCATAATCTACTTGATCAAAGGATGTGATTGTATGTTGCCTTCTTGTGTTGTTGTACTTTACCCCATAGGATTCATAGCAGAAAAAAGATTGTGAAATAGAGTATACATGTTGGTATGAAAACTTCTAATGCGTGCAATCCGTACTTAACTCACTATGCTATGGTGAGATGACATTCATTCTTATACACCTACTTATTCATTTGCAGGTACTGCCTTTGCCAAACATACCATTTTTCTGGGTGCTGTTTCGTGCTTATTCTCATTGGAGAGCTCTGCAGGTTTGTTAGATGGCCCAGTTATTATAGAGTTTTCAGCTCTTGGATTTTTTTTTGTTCAAACTCCTCTCTGTCGTGGTGTGGCGTTTGCTAAGGTATGTTTGATACTTACTTTGACATAGGGAAGTGAGAGGCTCCAGTTGTTAGTTTCTGACAGCTCAGATCAATGGAAAATCCTTCTTGAGAAGCAGAAAGAGATGAGTTCCAGAAAGGATGGCAACCCTTGTGAAAACACTCAATATGCTCCTTGGGTAAGTTGTCTCAATTCAAAATGAGTTAAACCTTCAGATTGTTGTATTTTGAGGGAAGTTTTGGACCGAGACATTTATGGACCTCCGGAGTCATCATCTTGATTATTTTCTGTTAATTCAACTAGAGTTGTAGATCGGACATACTACATCAGTTCTAGATCAGATACTTGAAGAGTTGAGGTAGTTAATCTGTGTTACTATCACATACCTACTGCCTCTAGTATGCAAATGTACCCGAAGGCAATGAACAACCTTTTCTGACATGTGGCCGCATGGGATAATGCACAAACAAGTTAAGCCAGGATATGCCAATTAAAAGAATTTATCTACTTGCACAGTTGCATATATGCTGGCTTGTTTTACCCGCTAGGCACAGTTTGTTTGACCTTGAGGTTTATGACATGTCAGTGTACCCTTGCATAACTGCATGCATTGTATGCCCAACCTGCACATACACATGGGTGGCCACGACTATGGATGGATTTATTTGTAGTTATTGATTATTTAATAGTTACTCCATTTGCATACAACTGGTGAGCACTTTCTGGAATGCCTGACTTCATGTTGCAATCATTAAGCAATCATTGAAGCCAGCTATTATAATATATCTTTATATGGTTTTTATATAATATAACTTTTTATACATCTGATGAATGATGGGCACATTGAAGCTTGCCTGACTTATATACAACAATGATTAGGCTGTCTGTGCAGCCAGTTATGCATCTATGTGTAATCTCAATTCGGAGGATCTGTACATTGTGGCTCACAGAAAAAGGTTGCCAGTTACTTCACAACTCCAACTAGTCACCTTAACAATTTTTGCCACAACATGTTGTAATTTGCTGTTGGAATCTGAATCTGATATTGTTTTTACTGCAACATAACTTGAGATCCTCTACCTCACGGGATTTATATATGTCCACAACATTTTATGAAGGAGCTACTATGGAGGAAATGGGGGAGGGGAGTTCCATTATTTGTATCATATAAGATGATCTTGTTTGTAATATGTGTTCCTCTCATACATGGTCCTTTCATTAGTTAGGTGAAAATAGTGGTTGTTGGGGGTGTTAGGCAATAGTGGCTTGTGACTCTAGCCTACTGATAATTCCTTCTAGATTGTTAGGCTTTGACAGTATATATATCATATCATATTTACTGTATGTGCAGTTTGTTTTTTTTTTGAAAAAAGAAATACTTATTGTGTTATTTCTTCAATAGAATTTGCAGCCTTCGAAGAAGCTTGATGGGTTCCTTGAGAGCAGAAAATTGAATGAAGGATTGGATTGTGATACCATTTCGAGGATTTGTCAGGCATATGATTTGGACAAGATTGATGTTCTGAAGTACAGGGATTTGGAGTAACCACATCCAGTTTCTTGGCTGCCGTGGTGATTTTTTTGCCAGCTAATGTTTGTGTGGTAGAAATGAATTCCGTCGTGGAGAACTAGCTGAACTGCTGAAGGGTACACGAGTGACACGAGACTTCCAAAATTAGTGACTAATGCAGATTTTTTTTTTTTGCAAGGGATTTGGAGTAGTAGCATTACAATTCACAAGTTTTGTTGTTCCTCAGTCTGCTGCTGGTTTACAAGGCAGAAAAACAGACAGGACCTAAAACTGTAGTGCCCATGGTGACATCTAATTCTGTACCCACCATGTAAATAGAGGTGGAGGCATCCTTTCCCCACTAGCATTTTCTTTGGTTTCAGCACCACTCAGTAGTCAGTACTCTGTAAGGAGATTTGCTTCAATGGATTTTGCAGCTGCTATAACTTCTGAAGTCAAAAGTTGTGACTGGATTTTGCAGCTAACTATGAGGCCAAAAGTTGTGATTGGCTAATATTTTTTTTTTGGGTTGTTTAGGGTGCAATCAGAATCAATCATTGGGTAGATCTGCATCCAATTTTGGTTCCAAAGCAGAATCTCCTCTCTGCAAAGTACCACCGGTAAAGATTTGGTCTTTCTGAGGTGCTTCCAGTGAAAGTTCATAGTTTCTGGATTAGGACTAACCTTTGTATGTTTTGACTGATCCACTCATCTACCTCTTTGATTGCCATTGGATTATCTTGATAGCCGGCGGTCAAATTAACTTTTAGAAAAACTTGAGAGGATGGCATGAAAGCACCACAAATCCATGGCATTCTGCATGATTGAAAACCATCTCCTAATTAGGTGTGGTTATGCTGCTAGGATTGGAGCGAAATAATAAATATCAGAACTGGGTCCAATAAGCCGTTTTCCTTCAAGCTTATCCATAGTAGTAGTAGAAGTACTAGTTGTACCTCTCGATAGTGACGTTGCTGTGGCAATGTTTAAACAACGCAAAAATGTGACCGATTGGGCGATTGGGATTGCCCACAAAGTGACATGCCAACTTGTTGCTCTCTTAACTCTTTTACCGGTCGCTTTGGTCAGACATCCAATTAGAGGGTGTTTGCAATTAGAGGGTTGCAAACACCCTCTAATTGGATGCCTGACCAAAGCGACCGGTAAAAGAGTTCTCACAGCAACAAGTTGGCATTTTTGTGAGAGGGACTAAAGTTTAGCTCCACTTTAGTCCCTCCAACCAAACACCACCTTACTCCCCGGTCCCGGATCACGATTCCAAACCCTAACGCACGCTTCCTCTTTTGATTATGCTTGTTCGGCTGTTGCTGATGCTGATTCTAAATTTTAAAGGTTTAATTTTACATAGATTTCTTTGCTTGCCTCCTTAACAGTAATTAAAATAGAGCTATATGTAGTGAAAGCGATGAACGCTGAGATTATAAACTTGAAGCTGAACACTGAGACTACTAGATGTCTAGATCCCCCTCCCCCTTTGACAAGTTCCATGCTGGAGTATTCTTTTCAACTTATTGACATGTGTGTAACTGTCAACTTGATTAAGATACAGATTTTTTTCCTCGACTTTTATTAGCACATTTTTCAAACTGCTAAATAAATGTATTTAGTGCAGAAACTTCCTATGTAGAAATTGTTTTAAAATATAAGATAAACCTATTTAGTTTATAATAATTACAACTTAATTAATCTCACATTAAGGGCTTTCTTATTTTACGTATTATCACTTAATTTTTATCTTCATTACATTCAAACGGGACCTCTGTGCCATGGTTCTCGAATTACAATTCTTTAAGAACTTGAAGCACTTTCTATATCACCATTTATTAGACAGCTTGTTCGAAACTTTTTTATAACATGCTGACGGAGCTTGGGGCTCCTCACCGGGAGACCGCGCAGGCCCCCCTTTGCCGGTTCGGCCGGGGGCGCTAAGTGAGGTTCTTCGCCCTCGATCTGAGGAACGTCCGCGAGAGAGGGAGTGCACAAGACACGGGCGACGTAGACAGGTTCGGGCCGCTGAGAAGCGTAACACCCTACTCCTGTGTTTTGGTGGATCTGTGTGTGAAGGAATACAGAGAGCCGGAGAGCGAGAGATAGTTCAGGCTCTAGAATCCCCTCGCCAGAGTCCCAACCCCCCTCTTCCTAGGCCTGGGCCTCCTTTTTATCTGGTCAGGGGTCACCACATGGGGCTCTAGCTGCCTAAGAAGGGAAACATGCTTTTTACAAAGAGGGCTAGTCTACAGCCGGAAGTGACCTTTGACAAGCAGAGCACACGCCTCCTGCCCCGCTCGCCCGCTTTTCCGGTGGACGCCCATTTCAACCTTCATTTAATGGCCAGCGACTTCCTTGCCATACTTGCGCTGAAGCCTGGAATGGATCTGACCGGGACTGACATACCAACTCCAGGAGTTAGCACGCCGGCTCCGGCTAGGGACGAGAGCCAGGTAGCTCTCATCATTCCGACGGGACGGGGCGAGGCGTGTGACAGGCCGCCTGTTGCCACCTAACCCGCGATCTGACCGGTCTGTGACCGGTCACACACCGCGACCGGTCACGGACCGGATAAGCGCTCGCTGCGCCGCATTAAATGCGGCGTGGCGCGCTCGTCCAACCTGCTATAAATGCGGTTAGGTGAGCCCGCTGTGCTTACCTAACCCACACACGTGGCGCCAAAACCACAGGGGGTCGGGGCGCCCCAGCCCTCGGGGCCGAAACGGGAGCGGCCCGACCCCTCGGGGAGACAGAGGGAGGGGTGGCCACGTCACCCTCAGGCCCGACCCCCCCGAGGGGGTCAGGCCACGTGGGTGACCGCGGCTACCCAAGCCTCTAGTCACGATACCCCCGGCCCCATGTCACCGACAGTAGCCCCCGGCGTTACGCCAGGGCGATCGCCCCCCTCGAGGGAAGCGCTCGGGCGTGACGCCACTCCTTAGGCCCGGTGACAGGTGGGGCCGGTCCCTACAGGCGGGCAGAAACCCAGCGGTCGCAAATCGCGCGCATCGGCAAGGGAAAACCGACCGACGATAATGAGCGGCCTCTTTAAGACCGCTACATTACTCGAGCAGCGCGCGAATCGGGACGAGCCGGTTCGTTTCGCCTGGGGACATGATGATGGCGCTTTTCACGGTTGGCGGGCGTAGTTAATGCGCGCACGATCTGCCCCATCTCAACCGCCACGGCCGCACATTTGCCACGTGCGCCGCAAACGGGCGAGTGGGTTTAGTGGAGGCGTGTGCGCGAGAAACGAGGGGGCGAGGTAGTGGGCGCGGGAAGCGAGGAGCCGGGCATAGCGTTGGCAAGGGTGTAAAGACGCCGAGGAAGGGATTTGTTTCTTTCCTCTCGCCACTCTTCCCCTTGCCTTCGCCACTTGTGCCCTAACTCTTCGTTTCCTGTGCCCTACCCTTGCCGCACTCGCTCGCTCTCAAGCTCCTCCTCCGCCGACGTCATGGCACGGGGCTCCGCACCGCTCGACGGTAGCGTGCTGCCGCCTTCCCGCATCGTGAGCGAGAGGCAGGCCGGGCTGCCGCGCCGATTCATGCCGGAATCTGCCACCGGCCGGGAGGTGGTCGCGTTGGGCGAGGGACGCCCGGCGCCACAGTACCCGGGGCGGTCCGTCTTCTTCCTCTTTTTCGCAATGGCGGGGCTGGTCCCGCCATTCTCTATTTTTTTCATGGATATTCTGGAGTTTTATGATCTCCAGATGGCGCACCTCACCCCCACCGCGATAATGACGTTGGCCATCTTCGCACACCTGTGCGAGATGTTTATTGGGGTGCGCCTATCTCTCCGGTTGTTCCGGTGGTTCTTCACCGTACAGCCGGTGTCGCCGCCGACGGTAGTCGGTGGCTGCTACTTCCAGCCGCGGGGGCAGGTGCTGAACCGCTACATTCCCTGCGTCCTCCACAAAAAGTGGGACGACTGGAAGAGCGATTGGTTCTACACCCCCCTCGCCGACGAAGCGCGCCTCCGACTTCCGAGCCAGCCCCCGGCGCAGGCCTCCAGCTGGCGGGCGGTGGTAGATCTGGGAGACGGCTACGACGCCATTCTTGACCGCCTGGCGGGTCTGTGATCCCTGGGGCTCACGGGGGCCATGGTGCTCGGCGACTACCTTCGTCGCCGGATCGCGCCGCTCCAGCGGCGCGCCCGGGGCGCCTGGGAGTACACCGGGCCCGAGGACTACATGAGGACCCACCAGGGGTGCAAATGGGACTGGGACCCTGAGGACTTCAGGATGGTGGTCCAACGGGTGCTGAATCTCAGCTCCGTGGAGGCATCCCTCATCCCCCAAGGGGTCCTCCCCCTCTGCTGCGATCCAGAGCGCGCCAAGATCCTGACCATCATGCAGGTGGTCGGGGCGTCGGGGGAGCGGGCCCCCCGGGGCCACGATGGCGCGGGCGGGAGCCGCAGGGGGGAACAATCTACCCCGGGAGGGGGTCGTGCTTTTGGGCCCCGCGACGGGGGCCCGGGGAGCAGCCGCCCTGCCGACGCCCGGGGGAAGAGGAAGCAGGAGGGAACCCCTCCCCCATCTCCTCCCCGAGGGGGCGGGGCGGTGCGTGCTAGCAGCAGGCGCCCGGAGGGTGCCGTGCCGATGCCGCAGCCCGAGGGGGAGCGAAAGAAGAAACGGCTCCCCAAGATGGGGGGGATCGCGCCATGACGGGGGAACCTCATCTCGCCCCCGAGGTGGTCGTTTAGCCGACCTTCCCGCAGGTTCGTCCCCGCGCCCACCGCGGCCGTATTCATTCTCCCATCTCCCAAGGCGAGTTTTCACTCACCCGCTTCTTTTTGTCTTCTGGTTTTTCTTCTGCCTCAGCGAGATCCCGTCGCCCCCCCCCCCCCCCCCCCGCCATTCCAAGTCCGGCCGGTCTGAGGCCGAGGAGACGGCGACCGCGGAGGTCCGAAGGCGGGAAGCTGACCGGCGAGAAGCCGCGGACCGCCTCCGGGAAGCCGAGGAGGCTGCCCAGGAGGCCGTCCGTGTTCGCCAGGCTGAGGAGGCCGCTCGGGAGGAGGCCAGACTCCGCTGGGCCGTGGAGTCCGTCCGGGAGGCAGAGGCGGCGCGCGCACGCCAGGCGGCCTGCCAAACCCCCGACCCGACTCCGCCCGAGGCGACGCCGACTTCCGAGGCCACCCACGACGAGGCCGCGGGCGCGCCACTCGGGCCCGACCCCTCGGGCGACGTTTGGGACGAGCCAGCTTCGGGAGACGCCCCCGAGTCCGGCACGTCGATCGGCGGGCCGAGCCGCGCGGCACCCACACCGAGGCGGCTCTCCCCTCTGCCTTCCGCTGCCCCACTGAGCGCGGAGCCCCTCCTGCAGGCCTTGGCCGCCGCGAACAGCACAGTGCTGGACGGGTTAAGTGCCCAGATGGAGGCCCTGTAGGCGGAGCAGGCGGAGCTCGACGCGGCGTGGGCGCGCGTCGAGGAGGGGCGGCGCTCGGTGGAGGCCATGGTGGAGGCGGGCCGCAAGGCACAC